AGTAAAATAAAAGCCTGGAGACGAGACGGGGTGTGTGGAGTCAGTACAGCTTAGAACATATCATTTCAGTGGATTATGGTACAGTTATGTTCCCTGACTAAAGGTGAGACCCTTGAGGGAACCACCCCAGTGACAAGAGGGAAACTGACCAAGTGACAGTTTCAGACCTTTTTTTCTGAGAGTGTGTGGCATTTTAGCAGTGTGTTAGCACTAAGCTAATGGCGATTCCCATGAACATTTCTTGGCTATTCTAGATTACATGCAAATATTAGAAACTTGTAAAAAACTTATCAACATATATTTTACCTTATAGCGACTCAGTAAAACGTTCTGGCATAGAGCCGTCGCCGCCGCTGCTTTCCATTTTTAACATCTGACTGAAATGCACTAGTAAGGCTATCACTCCTATTCACAGTCAGTGACGTATCCAGGACTTCCAAAAGGACCACAATGAAGTTTTTTGTCACAAAATTGCTCCTAAACATTGTAAATCAGAATGCGATTGGATGATTCCACTGTGAGCACCATTATGTTTGCGGCTCATGTGACACATCCCGCACTCAGTTTCAGCCTCTGACGGCCTAAACAATGAGAGAGCTCGCTTAGCTGTATCTGCCTGAACACCACAGAGGAAAAAAACCTTGATTGGAGGCCAAGTAACATGCTAATGCATGGTACACCCATGGGCTACTGACAGGTTTGTTGTCCATTGGAAGATTTTTTTTTTTGGGGATCAATTTTATTTTCTGTTAGTCAAACAGCACTAATCACAATATTACAAAACTGAATCAAACCAAAAACCCCTTTCCCCCAATCCCACCAATCCACGCACCCCCCCATCTTTCCTTACATTACTGACAATACGTTAAATATATTAATGCGTAGACTGAGATAAAACACAATTTAAAAGATGCTATATGTGCATCATCCTCAAGAGTAGATCATCTAGCTTTATTGATTCTAGCTGTGGCCAATATGAACATAAGCATGTAGCTGAAACAGCCAGTGTCGTACTCTAAGATTATGTAGGGGGGTGCAATTATTTTTTAGCTGATGTTGAATCAGCGACCCATCTCTTCTTTTGTTTCCCTGTTAGAACTAAAGTGGAGACATTATTTAACAATAATACAGCTGGATCCACAGGGATTTCCTTCCAACGCAAGGCAGACAATATGGTAGTAACCTTTATCCAGAAGTCATGAACGTCCTCACAGTCTCACAACATATCGCTGTCTAAAAAAAAGGCCCATTTTTTGTGATTTTTATTTTTCTGCTAAATTTGGCTGAGATGATTGGACCAACAGAAATGGCTTCTGCTCATAATAAAATCTCTTTACATTAACTTACATTGAAAGCAAAGAACATTTGTGCCTTCTTCTGTAAACATACTTGTTTTTCTTTGGACAGTGACGATTTGCAAGAAAGTTCCTACTTGTTGTAAGAAAGCATTTCTGTGGCATTCAATATAATCTGTGACAATATTTAAAATGGATCAGTTAGTGATTCGGTTTTTGGATACATGGTACATAATTTCCCACATAGTTTCCCACTCAACTGTACTGACAGAGTCCCAGATATACAGGGAACTTCAGTTGGACAATGTTGACGAGAGCACCGTTGCCCCATATTTTGCGCTCCACCCTCATGAAGTGTTGAGCTGGTTTAGAAACTGTACTCAGTTTATTTCCACCCTAACAGATCTACAGTCTCACCTTCATTTAGCCTAAAATTTGTACCCAGACATTCTCATTATATCACGCCTTACCTGCACGACTGCAAGGTCACATTTCAGAAGTGCAGCGTGCAGAGCTAGATGATCTCTTGCTTGACAAGTATTTGTTTTTGGTTTAAAAGCTAAAGCAGCTAAGAAAATTATCCTTCATATTTCAAAAGAAAGGGCAAATTTTTATGGGAAAATTCTACTTTTTTAATTACTCAGACAAATGTGCTTTCACAGCTCTCATGTTTCAAGCATAGTTTCAGCACCTTGGACAGCAGAGACTTGTGGAATGTAAAGCCCACTGATAGTCAAAATAGGCAACGTCTTACAATATTGACATGTTGCCAATTCATCATCATCATCATCTTTAACCGCTTAGTCCAGATAGGGTCGCGGTAGCAGTTGGGAGAGCAGAGAATCCCAGATGACTCTGTCCCCCGCAACTTCCTCCAGCTCATTTCAGAAGACCCCAAGCCGCTCCCAGGCCAACCTGGAGTAATAATCCCTCCAGCGGGTCCTAGGATGACCCCGGGGTCTCGTCCCAGTAGAGTGTGCCTGGTAAACCCCCAACCAGGAGGTGTCCAGGGGGCCTGAACCACCTTAACTGGCTCCTCTCAATGCAGAGGAGTGGCAGCTCTACTCTGAGCTCCTCCCGGATGACCGAGCTCCTCACCCTGTCAGCAGTGTAGCCGCCACCCTGCAAAGAAAGCTCATTTCCACCGCTTGTATTTCGCGACCTCATTCTTTCAGTCATTACCCATAGCTCATGACCATAGGTGAGGGTTGGGATGTAGACCGACCGGTAAACAGAGAGCTTTGCCTTCTGGCTCAGCTCCCTCTTCACCACTATAGTCCAGTACAGTGACCGCATTACCGCAGCCGCCTGTCCCAGCCTGCGGCCAATCCCACCATCCCTCTTCCCATCACTTGTGAACAAGACCCCGAGATGCTTAAACTCCTCCACCTGTGTCAGGTCCTTTCCCCTTACCTGGAGTGGGCAGGCCATCCTTTTCTGGGCTATGTTTCCTATTTAACTTGTATTGTTATATTCAAGTTGCACCTGTCCAAAACCCAAAAAAACAGACTCACAGTCAGGTAATCTTTTCAGCGCTTTATTTATAAACATAGAGTATAGTGTAAAGCCATTGCATTTGAACATCAAAGTAATCTATTTTTCGGATAGTGTACATTTGAATATCACAATAAATATACCTTAGACTTGATATCATTTCCAAGGTAACTATTCATCCTAGACAATATCAAATTTGTCTGGCAATGCCTCCGCTCTGTAGCAACCTAGATAATACCTAATAGAACATAAAATAGCTACTCAACCAGACCCGAAGCGCAGAACACTGACTATATAAGAAATCATGAGAGCATATTAAATGTCCAATATGATCAAATTCTTGAAGGGTGAAAATCAATGATTTTAAACGAAAGCCTTGGATATACCCTCATGGTCAGATCATGGAATAACAGCTAGTAGTTCGTATTGGTTAGTGTTAAGCATAGCTAGTGGCACTGACACGAGTGGTTTAGAGGCAGTTTATGAACTGATTTTAAAACAAATATAACAACTGGTATTGCTAGTCGTGTGCAGTATTTCAAAGTAAAAAAAAATGACAACCTCCTAAATATCACCCAATATTCACCCAGACAAGATTTAGACGAGGCATACAAGTCTAAAGTCTGGCGCAAAGTCTGTTTGCTTAGTCTACAACATCAACGTAGACCGTATCTGTCGCTGACAACTTGATGACGCAATAATCTGAAACCACACTGTATGATTTCTTCGCTCAAGAGTGCAGAACTGCGCAGCGCTCGAGCCTCAATCGCTTAAATGGAGATGTGCAATCTGTTCAGCCTCCTTGACCACAGCCGAAATAACAGTCACTTCCTTTCACCTCAACTACAGACAGTCTTTGGATTTGAACTCTTAAAATGCTTTTGCCTCTTTTTTGTGCAAACGCTCCCTTCACTCTAAGGCACATTTTTTCAGTGCAATACCTTTCCCACCACTAATGAAGCAAAATATCTCAGATCATTAGTGACTTTGAGATACACAGGGACAGAACTGCAAAACCAATGGATCTGCTTTTGTTACTGGAACGGGTTGTAACTGGTATACATGCACTTACTTTATCAGTTTGAACCAAGAAAGCATAAGGCTGCGTTAACATGGGCATTTTGGTATCCGTCAAAAATGCACCGCTAATCAACATCTTGAATGCCTGATGCCTGTTATCCAAACTCCAGTCCTGGTTTTACTGACTTTACACACAGCACAGCTCTGTGCATCTTTTCCCTGCATGCCAGCCTGACACTCAATGCAGTATTTTCTATGTTTAATAATAGTTGAATAGTTTATCGTGAAGTCGTTTCACATCAAGTAAATTTTTATTAAAGTAATTCACAGAAACCTTCAAATTAAGTCCATTGTGCTTGTCCTAACAGGAAGCAATGCGAGCCAGAGCCAACGACAATAACAAAACATTTCTGTAACAATCGAAGAAGCTGTCTTCATTGAAAGTGGCAGAGCATGATGTGGTGTGATGTGACATGCCATTTTTGACAAACACCCTGTCGCTCTGCTATTCCGCCTCAAAACGGATGAGGAGCAACTCATCCAAGAAGTGGAGAAAAGAAGGGACCCTTCCAGTAAAGGATCAAGGGATCAGGCCAAAGTGCTGTAAGAATTCGTATCACTGATTGATGCTTTGCTAATTAGCTAAGTAGTCTTGGCAGATACAACCAAGCTGCCCAAAACCAGAGCAGTACAGAGCCATTTTAACTGCTACTGATGTAAAATGTGGGGATAAAAGCTGTTATAATACAGGGTGATTAGAAACGATTCATCCGATTTCAAAATGATTTATTTCACTTGTAAATCATCACAGATCAATGCAGTAAACTGTAAATGGTTTAAATGAGCATAAAGTTCATTATGTAATTTTACAAGTGCTCAATATGAATCTCCTCCAGCTGTACAGACAACATCAACGCCATAGTCAAACTCATCCCATAATGGATTGAGCATGTCGGGTGTCGCTGCACTCACGGCTCTTTCAGTGCAAGTTCAGAGATCATCCAGTGTTGTGGAACCAACAACGAACGCTCTGAGCTGTTGGAGCTTCACTGCCCGCGAAAATCACACTGCACAGTTATGACGGATTCACTCTTATTGAAGAGGAGAACGCAGAACGCTTTCTGCTCAGGGGTCGCATCTCCTCTCAGACTGAAGGGAGCCATCTCCCACTGACAGTCAGAAACTCTATGAGCCCCTCTTTCAATTGGTATGTGATTGGTTCCTAGGCTCCACACGGTTGTAAAAATATGGTGCTTTAAAATCGGATGAATCTTTTTAAATCACCCTGTATTAAATCAATGTCCCACAGCTGGATAGCTCCACCAGTAAAGCAGCTATTTACTGACATGTCCTTGGTTTGTTTACCTTTTGACGTGACACAGATTCACTGAGTAGTAACAGTTATCATATCAAAAATCATTTTTCTTTTAGCCAGGGCGACTCAAAGACAAAGCAACATTATGAACAACCCACTCACAACCGTCTAAGCGTTGGCCCTATGATCACAAGATTGTGAGTTTGATCGCTGGTGATGTTACAGCCATCCGTGGCTGGGAGTCCAAGAGAGCACAACTGGCCTCTCTCTGGGTGGGTAGGATCATCACTTCCCATCACTTACTAGTACTACTCACTACTGGCTAGTAGTGATACTAGCCAGCACAGGCGTCTGTTAGCTAACATAACAGAAGTGCCAGCATATGCTAGCCTTCACCCTCCTAGTGCTGGTGGTATTGTGTGATTGGGGGAGTCCTAAATAGTGGGTGGAACTGGATACGACTAAATTAGGGAGAAAATTGGGGAAAAAAAAAGAACAACCCACTGTTGCACAATGCATGGCTATGTGCAAAAATCCATTTGGAAAAGGTCACTAGAACTGGCCTTTTTAAAGAGTTTACTATGAGGTTTCTGTGTCAGCCAATGAAAGATGGTGTGAGGTGGGGCTTCATTAAGATAGAAGAGAAACTAATCACTGCTGAACAATCGAACTCTAAAGTTCTATTAGGACGCTCACGACTGGTTTCTTTAAAAGCCACTCGCATTTTTCGCTTCTTTTTATGAGAAAAAACAGCAACTGCCTGCAGTTTTTGTTTACGAGCTTTCATGTTTGCTTTCAGTAGCTTCATGTTGGGAAATGCTACAACAAACCAGCCGCACAGATCACTGCATTTTTAACAGACACCAAAATGTTTTCGTGAAAGCAGCCTGACTTGGTTCTGTTTTTCCTTTAGCCCAGCAAATGCAACAAATGAAATGGATGTCTATCAATCAGATGCAGCTACCATTACAGACCTCCGGCCATTACAAAGATCAGGAAAGAATACGCAGCGGCTGAGATGGACTGTTTGTCTCAGCAACATCCATCTGGACCAAAATGGACCTTAATACAGATAAAGCTCTAAATAATCATTTTACTGAAGTCAAAAATAGTGGTAACATGGTCATTTCCTTGCTATACTTCCAACATATACGCCGTTATTTGTAGTAAAGTAGATAATGCTATACTTCATGCTATACTCAGAAAACTGACGACCGTTTTGAACACAGCTGTTTGTTATAAGTGGACCAAATAAATCCTCCATAAAAAATATAAATCAATCATCGCACCCTCAAACAGAGGTCGATGAGATGGAGTCATCAGCGAAGTTTTCGGTTATTTCAACCTTGATAAAAGCACCAGGCCTTTAACACACTTGGTGGGAGCTATACATTTGGGCATAAAGGAAAAACCTCTTGACTTGGAAATATTGCATTGATCTCAACCGAAGATGCAGTGTGACCAGTCCAAGCATGGCTTGAATGTGGGAAGTGGTGGTGGGTGAAACTGAGGTGTTCAGGTGGTCCCAAAACACCAAGCCTGCTCATAAGGTGGTGGGCTGACCAGCAGCTGAAAGAGAGAACATATAGAAATATAGAGATTCATTTCCTCTCGTCTGGGGTATGGAGTAAAGAATTCTAGAGAACGTCACTCATTTATTTGTTTTCCAGATTGGGTAACACTTTATTTGGGGTGGTCCTTTATAGATGATTAATAAACTCTTAACAGAGTATCAGTAACACATCAACAACATATCAGTGAAGCAGCAGTAGTGAAGCATCTGAATACACTTAAGTAAATATCTTGTAGATGTAGAACCTTACCAACCTTACCCAAAACCTAACCCTCACACTGGCCCTAATCCTAACCCTAACCTCAACCCAAAACCTAATCCTAACCCTCACACTGGCCCTAATCCTAACCGTAATCCTAACCTCAACCCAAAACCTAATCCTAACTTTAACCCAAAACCAAATCCTATTTCTGGCCCTGGCCCTAAGCCTAACCCTAACCTTAACCTCAACCCAAAACCTAATCCTAACCCTCACCCCGGACCTAATCCTGACCGTAATCCTAACCTCAATCCAAAACCTAATCCTAACTTTAACCCAGAACCTAATCCTATTTCTAGCCCTGGCCCTAAGCCTAACCCTAACCTTAACCTCAACCCAAAACCTAATCCTAATCCTCACCCTGGCCCTAATCCTAACCCCTCATATGTTTTTGACATGTTACTGAGAGTCTGTTGAGTGTAAAATGACCTCTCAGAGTAAAGTGTCACCCTAAATTGTGTTTATTAAATATACATTCCTTCATTAACTGCAACCATTGGTGGGCAAAGTCTATACAGCTTTGTAGAGATGAAATGATGATTATATAATCATGATATTTGTTGTTGTTATATTAGTCAGGGACAACAAGTACATATGCGTTTGTTTGTGAGAGCATGAATTAATGAGAAAAAAAAACTCACAACGAGAGCGGATGTAGCACTGATGACAGTTCAGCAGACCATTACGGATCCTCACGTCTGTCCCGGTGGTGGTGTCACCCAGCTGTCCCTTACAGATCCCACACTGTGTGACCGACACAGAGATAATATAAGGAGAGAGACTGACAGAGATTGTCTAGTGGAGAGAATATAACCAAAGCACTCTGTAATGCTCTATAAGACTTATATGATACACACGCTAATTCCGATGTGTCTGATCAGGGTCAGAGCTAACCAAGGCATATTTCAGTGTATCTATACCAGCTACATTAAGCCTGACCAAATATAAACATAAACTTTTTCAAGTTAGCAAGTGTTTTAACTGTCAGCAGTGAGGACCTATGAAAACAGTCCAACAGTCACTTATGCCAGTTTTTCAAATGCAGTTAAACTAGCTGTCTGTCATTAAAGCACAGTTCAAGCAGCCAGGGCACAGAAACAATGTTTATTAGATATGCCTACATTGTATCTGCACTCGTTATCCATTTTAACAGGTCCACTTACCATATAGGTGCACTTTCCACACCTACTTAAAGCTCCCTGGACAACATGCATGCATAATTTCTTCTGTAATTCTTGGTCAGGCATTTACAAACTGCCAGCAGAACCAATCCTGTCAGCTAAGTATTACACAAGTCTCTAGTCCCCATATACTTTTTGCCTTATGTCTGAGAACACAACACTAGCCATGTTTACAAGCAGCCTAATAATCCGTTAATAACCTGACCAACAGCTCAATCGGAATAGAATACGTCCATGTAAACCCCTCAATCGGAAAAGGCAAATGCGATTGAGGCCATTCGAAATACAGCTTCTATCCGATTAAACAAGGTGGGTAATCCTGTAAATAATTTGTAGAATAATAGCCGTGTATCTGATTACATTCCCTACCGGAAAGTTTAAGTCCATTCTGATCATGTTCGTCGCGTCATAGTGAAAGTTTAGACCGTTCAACATGGCGGAGCAGAAACTGGTCTGCAGAGGAGACGAAGTTTATGCTCTGATCTTTAAAAGACGGCGGTGGGACGGACGTCCAGTTTATGTGTCTCAGAACACGACGTCTTCCTCTCGGCCTTCTTCAATAACGACATGTGAAGGAAGTTTTCCTGAGTCTGACATCATTTTAAAGTGATTAAAAACAGAAATGTGCCAGCTGTGAACATAGTGATCTTAGTCCTTAGATTTTAGCCACTTGTCCAAGGAAACTCACTTCACGAAGCTCCTAACACCGATTATTGTGCTGATCTTGCTTTCAGAGGCATTATGGAACTGTAGCGAAAGACGTAACAGAGGATAAGCGATTTTTACATGATACGTGCTTCAGCGCTTAGCAGCCCCGATCTGTGTTCCCAGTCGCTTCCATCACACAATAACAGCACTTACAGTTGACTGGGGCACATCTAGCAGGCCATGAACTGACATGTGGCAAACAGCGAGGTGGCATCCTATGACAGCGCCACGTTTAAAGTTACTGGGCTATTCAGTACAACCCATTGTACTGCCAGTGTTTGTCTATGGAGACTGCATGGCTTTATGAATTATTTCATACGCCTGTAAAGCTGTATAAGCAATGGATGTGGCTGAAACACAATGCAATAATTAGGAGGGGTGTCCACCTTCAGCCATATGGTGTGTGTACATATTGCATCACTGTATGCAGCTGTATTATCTACAAAAATACAAGTATCAGACACACACAGACACAGACTGGTATACAGACCTTAAAACACTGGATGTGGAAGTAAAGGCTGAGAGTCTCAATAATCATGGCCGCTCCTTTACCAAGTGGATGACCACAACTCGAACACAGCTTCTTCCCACTGACAGATCTACACACACACACACACACACACACACACACAAATACACATAATCCACTTTACCTGCTATAGAAAACACATCAGATTACATTGCTGCAAAGCAAAAATGATATGAGTGTGACTGGAGAAAGAACAGAAAGGCTTGATTAAGGGATCCTCCAGAGACAGGTGTTAGAGACAGATAGTATTCTAGAGAGAGAGAGAAGGAGGGAAAGAGAGAGAGAGAGAGAGAGAGAGAGAAGTGTGTCCCTGTACCTGTTTGGTGATGGAGGAGGTTGTTGTGTGTCTGTGTATGAGGGAGATGACTGTGATGACTTTACACCAACATACTCTATGGAGTCAGACCTGAGGAGCAGAAGCCACAACTCTTTCACAAACACACATCCACACACTTGCAGCTTTAGCCATGAGAATGGATTCTGAAAAGTACTGATGGACCCATGGGAAAAAAAATACATGGAGTGGGATTTTTTAAAATATACTAAACCATGAATACCGGCACTCTTACTGTGGGCCATCAATTTATTTCCATCACCGTTAGAAGTTACACACATACACACCTTCTACGTCCTCCAGGTGCTGGCTGTGGGATCCTGCTGCAGTCCAATGAAGCACTCTTTTTCCAGGACTCTGATGACTGCTGGTGAGCCTTGCTGCTCCATGAAACACCTACACCAAACACAAAACATACATCATTTATAATATGATTTTAATGTTCTTCCTTAACATTATTATTATTATTATTATGTAAAATTAACTACACACAAATTCCAATCCCAAGCGAGTGGCTTTTCAGGCATGAAATGACAGAAAACAAACCTTAAGTGATGGCTTTCTGTAAATGGCAATGTCCACAAAGAACCATTCAGTTTGTCGGCCTTCTTTCAAACTGTGCAAAACATCTCTGCTATTGATGGGTCACCACTGACCAAAGTAAACTAATTTTACCATGAGAGATTAAAGCTTTTCACTCACTCTGTCAAATTCTCCAGCATCACTGACATCATTAAACATGCCCCACAATGCAAGCAAGTACGGCGACACTTTATATTGAGTGGTCCTTTTTATATGAAACAAACACTCTACTGACTCTCAGTAACGTCAGTTAGGTTTAGGTTTTGGGCTGAGGTTGAGGTTAGGGTTAGAATTAGGGCTAGGATTAGGGTTAGGGTTTGGTTTTTGGTAAGGTTGGGTAAGGTTAGGTTTTGCGTAATGGAAGTAACTTACAACCCCATGTCCAAAAAAGTTGGGACACTGTGCAGAATGTAAATAAAAATAGAATGTAATGATATGCAAATCATGTAAACCATATTTTTAAAGGAAAATATGAACATATCAAATGTTGAAACTGAAATTTTATTGTTTTTTGAAAAATATATGCCGAATTTGAATTTTATGCCAACAACATATTCCAAAAAAGTTGGGACGGGGGCCTGTTTACCTCTGTGTTTCATCACCTCTTCTTTCAACAACACTCTGTAAGCGTTTGGGAACTGAGGAGACACTGCTGTAGTTCTGAAAGTGAAATGCTTTCCCATTCTTGTTTGATATAAGATTTCAGCTGCTCAACAGTTTGGGGGTTCATTTGTTGTATTTTTATTTCAAAACCCTCCAATTGTTTTCAATGGGTGACAGATCTGGACTGCAGACAGGCCAGTTTAGCACCCGGACTCTTGTAATACATGCAGAATGTGGTTTTACATTGTCTTGCTGAAATAATCAAGGCCTTCTCTGAAAAAGACGTCGTCTGGATGGCTCCATATGTTGCCAAAACATGTATATATCATTCAGCATTAATGGTGCCTTCACAGATGTGCACGTCACCCATGCCATGTGCACTAATGCCGCCCTATACCAACATGAATACTGGCTTTTGAACTGTGCACTGAGCTGTGCGCCGAAAGATCTTGACCAGCAAATACTGGTTTTTGGTCTTGTCCCTTACATACAGAGATTTCTCCAGATTCTCTGAATCTTTTAATGATATTATGTACCGTAGATGATGAAAGCAAAAGTTCTTTGCTGTTTTATGTTGAGAGACGTTATTCTTGAATTGTTGCACTATTTGATGGTGCAGTCTTTCACAGAGCGGTGAGCCCCTCCTCATCTTTACTTCTGAGAGACTCCGCCTCTTTGGATGCTGTTTTATACCCAATCATGTTACTGACCTGTTGCCAATCAACCACCATGTGTTTTTTTTTTAGCATTACACAACTTTACCAGCCTTTTGTTGCTTCTGTCCCAACTTTTTTGGAACATGTTGTTCAAATCCAATTCAAAATGGGAATATATTTCATAAAAAACAACATTTGATATGTTGTCTCTGTACTATTTTCAATGAAATATAGCGTTTAAATGATCTGTACATCACTGCATTTTGTTTTTATTACATTTTACACAGCATCCCAACTGTTTTGGAAATGGGGTTGTATTAACAACACATCTACTTAATGTAAGTAATGTATCAACAGAACATCTACAAGATATTTACTTCAGTGTATTCAGATGCTTTACTACTGATACTTCACTGATATGTTGTTGATGTGTTGCTGATACTCTGTTAAGAGTTTATTAATCATCTACAAAAGGACCCCTCCAAATAAAGTGTTAGTACCCACAAAAGACATGACTGGCTAGATTTAATTCCACACACACCTACCTATAGACTATTCTTCTTATGGTGAGGGGGGTACATATATAAGCAAATGCAGACAATATCAAGCTGGTCCACATAAAAGCAAGTGAGGACAATATCAAGGATGGTTGTTCAGTGTCTACATTAACCTGTGTGTGAACGTCAGTTTGCCTGATCAACCAAGTGAGTTTTAAAGCTCCTCAATGAATATTTTACTTGGGCATTCGGGCAGTCGTAGTGTTGAACCCTGTGTTTGGCTCAGAACGTGTGAGAATGTGAGTGGACAGATAAGGCCCAACTTCTCCCATCGTTCCAGCTTTGGTGAGATATTATTCATGACTAAATAAGAATGCAGTGGGATGTTCCTGTACTCACTCTGGCTGTCCCGAAGTTGGTTAGGACTTTGGCTCTGCCCTTCCATTCCTTCTCTCTGTCCATTGGGCTGACCCACCAGCCGGTCGCCGCTCAGCTGTCGAGGGCTACAGTAATGCGAGATGAAAAAAAGGAAATAAAAATAGTTCCAAATAAGGAGGGGGAAGAGTAGAAACAGAGTGGAGTGTTGTGGTTATTGTCTTTAGTGTTTTAGTTACTGCATCTTTAACTGGACAGACCTTCCTGTTGCCTGGGAAAGCTCCTCTTTTGTCCCTGCCGGTTTGTTCCTCTCATTTTCCCTTTGTCTCTTATTCTCCAAGGTCCCCTTTTATGGAATAAAACACATTTTATTTATGTATCATTTATTTGCAAATAACAAAATATAATATTATGACGATTTTACATGATTATTCATAAAATATATGTATAGATTGTTGCATAAATGTGTTTCAGATGTGTGGGATCCACCAAAGTAGGAGCCAGGTCCAACCTGGGAGGTGCTGGATCCAGATTGTTCTGGAACAAATCAAACTCTGTACACCTTCCATCCATCTACTCATTTTTCCTCACCGTCTGTTTCTCCATCTCCTGCTTGTGTTCCCAGTCGGCAAGTGAGCGGACGATGCTGTGCTGCGTGGGGGTGCTAGGGAGGTGGGTGGTCTCCTGCCAGCATGGGGAGGGGGGCATTGGTGAGTGTGGCGTCAAAGGTGCCACCGTTTCCTCTAGAATCTTTCGCTCCTACAACACAAACAAAAAGAATCAAACACACCATCAGACAGACAGAATTAATGCATAAAAAATGCTGCACCGATACTGATACTATATCCAATGTACCAATAATGAAAGACCTTCTGACTTGCTACTGAGTGATGTGTGAGGCGCGCCAGGAGACGGACCTTCACTGAAGCAAACACATTGGTGGTGCGAAATTATTTCATGTTTGAAACAAGTAGTAGGAAAAAAACCTGTAATGCCTGTATTTCGAGGGAAGGTAATAGTAGTGGGTGATAAACTGGCTGGAATTCTTCGTAATGTATTCGTTTTATTGTTATTCCACAAATAAGTCAGATAACGCAACATACAAACAGAGCACAACATGCTAACTTTATCCTCTTTACCTGAATGGCACCTTCCCTCATCTCCTTTATCTGTGCAGTCAGATACAGTATGAGTTAATTATAGTCCATCAGTCTTTCAGGGTAGTGATAGCCTTTAGCCTTGTTTTATCTTTTAGTAAAGCAGCCTGCTAGTCAGGCTAATGTGTCCTAAAGCAATGCCTGGGGGGCACCTCTGTCAGTCAGCTTTATACAACAGTTAGTTTCGGCCATGCAAGCTGATTGGTCGAGAAGCGTTCTAACTGTGCTGTTATTTCGCCATAACATCACAGGTTTTTCACAAACACTATCACTCCGCTGAGACGCCGTTGCAAAGCAACGACTTTGACAGCTGTAGGAGACGCTCAAGACATTTGAACGTTTTTACTTCTTACTTTGCCACAAACAGAAAATGGATACTTTTAAGATCACATTTGACCGACAGCTGATTTGGTCAGACTCTGAAGATGAGACGACACTAAATTCCCAAACTGTCATCACCACTGAGCAGCTTTTCAGTCGGCAGCTGTGACAGAAGAACAGCTAAACAACCTGGAATCAGCCAGAAATGAACCCAATACCATTCGCCAAACTAAATGGGCTGTAAGATGCTTTACAGACTGGCTGGAACCAAACAACATATTGATCTGGCAAAAAATAACAAAACTGAGCTAAACTTGATATTGCCACAGTTTTATGGCTCAGTCCAATTTGGTCAGACTAGATCAGACTACACGTTTGACGAATGGTATTTAGTATGACTATAATATCTATAAAGCTCTAGTGGAGAAGCGAGAGCTTATGGGAAGCATATATGAGAGAAATTCCTTGAGAAATATGGAGCTGAACAACATTTAGCACCATTTTAACTGAGCCAGAGAAGCTTATGAGTGCGTATGTGTATGCACCATAGGTTTATATATACAGTGTTCAGTTCTTTTTAGCCTATTTTGCACAATATTTTAATTTAATTTGGTTGTTATGCTTTGTAAGTTTTATATCAGCAGATATTTGAGGATCAGTTATTGGTGCCAGAAGGTACAAGTGGCATTGGTGCACCTCTAATAAAAAACAAAAACATTATATCCATGCTTCAACATCTGATTGGACCATTTTTAAAGCAACACTTTATACACACGCAGTGTTTTTCAGACTTCATTATACCTTCATTAGCTCTTTACCTATATAAATATTTATAAAGGTAAATTATAACTGACATCAAGCTGTTATAAAGGCTGTTTTTGCCAATTTTGAAGTGACAGATTATCTATATTCAAATGACATCATTTTATGATAACTGACTTGAGATAATTGACTGAAATCAGTGTATTTCTTTAATATCAGAGTGACACAATTCCAATGATAACATTCACTTCATAATGTCACTGTATACATAATGTATGTTCTATTAATCCAGAAACAGCTTTAATTTCAACCCAGAAGTGTCATAACATGACAATGTAATCACAATTGACAAAAGCGGCATTTATGCCAGCGGACACTGGCCTGCTTCACAAATGTTGTTGGAGGTTTATGTTCATTGTTATGAAGGTTTTATGTCCATATCATGTATCCTTTTAAAAATCAGCTGCTAAGTAAAGTGTCAGTTCATTTTAAAATGATCTGATCCTAAAGATATTAGAGTAGGAAGGTTTTGTTGTGTGTCAGTCATGTTAAAATAAAAGAATTTATTTGCCTCTTCATGGTATCTCCTCTCTTCCTCTTCAACCTCCTTCTGAGCCCTCTCCCATTCCTGCTTCAGCTTCTCCTGCTCACGACGGTACTTCTCCTGCTCACACACACATACATGGAATGGATGAGGAAAGATCTTAAAAAGAAGAAAGTGCTTCAAAAGGCCTTCCTTTCCCAACTTGGCAGCTCCAAACAGATGCTGAAGGATCCTGTGTACAGACAGGTTTTAAGGTTCTGGAAACGTTAGCAGGGAAAAGTTAGGAAGATAATAATGATGTATAGTTAGAAGTAAAGTTTAGTGAGGGAAAGAAATAGAGTAGCAAAGCAACAGCCCAAAAACAGCCAAAACCAGTGGTGTAGTAACATTTTAAAGGCACAGTCTTACAGATAAACATCTGACCTATAATCTATGTCATTTGTTTATTAGATATGCTCTCCACATTCTTCTGTGGAAATGACCAAATGAGATCAGAAAAAAGCAGTTTAACCTTTAGAAGTAAGAAGTAACTAATGTAAGCAACAAATAACTGGTGTAGTTACATGTGCACAACAGATGTAACAACAATGTAACTACTAATGATTTAGTCACTGTTACAGATGGATTACAGAAGTGCACCTTATGTAATTACACATGTGAATCAACTTCAGTTTTGCCTCATGTAAATGCAAACGTGTATATTAATAGTTGTAACAGCCTATTATCTCTCATGCTATTACACAAAGATAATAACAGCAGATGTCCCCTTATATTAAGATGTAAGTTCCATAACATTAATTAAATGAGTTGAATTCCCACCAAAGCAATGTCGGTATTACCACTCCATTATTACACAGTACCTACATAACAACTACACAGGAACTGACCACTTATTTTAAAGTGTAACTTTAACACTACACTACAAAAAAGAAAGTTCCTGTGTAGAAGATACACTTGTGTAATTACCTGAGGCAAAACTGAAGTTGATACACATGTGTAATTACATAGGCTGTACTTTTGTAATCCATCTGTAACTAAATCATCAGTAGTTACAGTGTTGAGTATGTTATTCATGTGTAACTACACAGTTATTAGAGACACAATATAAAGTGGGACCAAATAACTACATAATTACAATCGGCACATCCATTTTTTCGGTTTGTTTCAATAGTGTTGCTGTTTTTTTTTTTTTTTTTTTACAAATAACAAAATTTCATAAAGTTTAAATCATAATGAAATATTGTCACTTCTATATATAAACACAGTTGTCTTCTGACAGGATTTTTCAGAATAATTCATCTCAAAATACAACATGCTTATGATAACTGAGACTTCCAAAGGTTAAACTTAAAAGCCCTTCAGTAATATTCATCTTTCAGGACAGAAGATCAGTTCATTATTGTGCCTTTAAATTTTGGTTATTGGCAGTAAACAGTGCATACACACACTCATACACACACTCTCGTATACACACGCACAGTGGCGCTCGTGGGGTCTTATCTTAAGCAGGGGACCCATGCACCATGCAGTGCTCAGGTTAGGTCTCTATGCAGTGGCCCTGAATCTTTGTTGTGGTTACAGGATTAAAACAAGCCTCAGGTTCTCAGGCTCAAACATGCCCTTAGTCTTCTCAAAGCTCAGTGCTTAGGAATGAGGTGGAAGCTCAATATGCATTTGCCTTAATTGTTTCTTCAGTGCTAAAGCAAACGTGTGCTTACATGTGTCTAACACAGGCAACAGCTAATCAGAGTGGACTAAGCATGCATCTACTTCAATCTTACACAACAATGCTAGAGGATATTAGGCCTGCTCAGCGCTAACTTAGTTTTAGGTTAAGTACTGACAAACAACTCAAAGCCAACACTTAGCAAACACCAATAAAGCTTGGTAATTGTCTAAAACAATAGTTTGGAAAAAAAGAAATCAAGTTTATGGAATTTCCCCCCAAACATAGTCGATCAGCCAAGACACGTTTGGAGTGAAGCTGCTTAAGAGGCTCATCAAGCTAAGAAGAAGGTGACATTTGGCATTGTATAAACTGCTTGTCTAGTAGGGACGAGCATTTCAGTCAAATTTAAAACTTGGATTTGTAAGGCATCGTTCAAAAATATAGAAATAATACCCCCAAACAAAAAACAAACAAAATAGGCTACCGCAGACTAGCATCAGACGGACAAAACACAACTGTAGTAGGTGACATGGCCTGACATTTACACCAAGAAAAGTCAACCCAAAGTCTAAACAGACAAATGTTAATCATCTGCTTCCATCACAGCTTATATCACTAGTCTTGTCACCAGTGGTGGACAGTAACTATCCATGCATCCATCATCTAAACCGCTTATCCTTCTGGGTCGCGGTGGGGTGCTGGAGCCTATCCCAGCTGTCATTGGGCGGAAGGCAGGATACACCCTGGACAGGTCGCCAGTCCATCACAGGGCAGACAGACAGACATACACATTCACACACTCACACCTAGGGGCAATTTAGTATGTCCAATTGGCCTGACTGCATGTTTTTGGACTGTGGGAGGAAACCGGAGTACCCGGAGGAAACCCACGCAGAAACGGGGAGAACAGGCAAACTCCACACAGAAATGACCCTGGTCACCCGGCCGGGAATCGAACCCAGGCCATTCTTGCTGTGAGGCGACAGCGCTAACTTGTTTTTGCTGTACTTAAGTAGTTTTTTTCGTGTATCTGTACTTTACTGAAGTATTTCCATTTTGGATCACTTTTTACTTTCACTCCACTACATTTCAAAGTCAAATATCTCACTTTTTACTCCACTACATTATGAGAAATCTGTCCTTTTGGCTTATGTGTGTATAAAAACGGAAGAAGCGTGAAGCAAGAACACACGTTGTTTTAAACTTGTTTTAACCTGTTGGACACAGCTACCCAGTGCACCCATATGGTTCAACGTCAGTGCAACAGTTTGGGAGTGCCAACATAAATGATGGAAGAAGCTCCTGACTCTAACCAAACTTTGTGTAAATAGACCACAATATAGAAATATGTACACATATGCAGTTGTGACTCGCATGTTTCTTTTTCTGAATTTATACAAACACTATTTTATTTTACAGTAAATTTGTTTTTGCTAGTTTATGTTTATGAACAGAGACCTACAGATGCAGTTTAGTAAAGGAAAACTCATTTGTGAACCTGAGATTAAAACAAGTTTTTATTAAATTTGTTTGAATTTAAATTATTTTTTATTTAAACTAAGTTGCAAATAAATCTTAAACTGAAACTTTGCTTATTCACAAAAAGTGATTTCAGAGCCACTCAGTTCTACCTGATGGAAATTGACTGCCTTCAGTGTTTTGTGCTTATGATCATTTTAATAGACATCAGCATCACTAATTAATGACTCTATTAAAAGACTGGTTTACCAAGAGTGACACTGGAGTATTTTCACCTAAAATGAGTTAATGAAGCGAGTCTTGTTTACGAAAATGATAACAGGACATTAAAGTCATAATTAATCTTTTAGTACTTTCACTTTCAATACTTAAGTACATTTGAAAGCAAATACTTTTGTACTTTTACTCAAGTGGAGGTCTAAAGGGAGGAACTTCTACTTTTACTGGAGTAATATTTTACCTTGGGTGTCTCTAATTTAACTCAAGTACACGGTTTATGTACGTCCACCACTGCTTGTCACATAGTACAAACTCACTATTTTATCTTTTAGCTGGAAACAGTGAGTTTGTGAAGAGTTAATTATCTGATACCAAACATGATAAATTCACTAAAAGATTATTAGTATTATTAGTATTACATTCAATCTATATATATCAAGTGTAAAGTGAACGGGAGCCTCTTACTTAGCTGCATTTTTCTGAAGTCCATCCTGTTTAGTATAGCTGCACTTTGTGCTGCCTGCTACCCGAGCTGCTCGCCTGGTGTACAGCTGCCTTTAGCTGGCTGCAGTAGGCTTTCTAGCCGTGTCTCAAAGCTAAGGATGCCCCAGAGGACGCAGCGTCACATCACTGAGAGCCATTCCGTTTTGTAGCGTCCTTCAAATGCGGCCCAGAAATGCGTCCTTCACTCGTGAGAAATTGAAGGGTGTAGCTGGTGTAGTTTATCAGGGCTGGGAAAGGCTCTCCTACCTCGGCTCCTGTTTCCTTCATTGGACTAAATAGGCAAGAAACTCTGATCATAACGCAAGATGCAAACACTTTGCTCTGTGGCGAAGTACAGATCTCATGGTTCATAAATACAGGGATGTATAACCATAGAGAGGTGCTAATTTGTCAATCTCAAAAATCCTAGTTTACTATTAGATTTTACAAATATTAAAGAATTCTGAATGCCTAATGCCTAAGGTCTCATCCACACATTCTGGATATTTTTTAAAACAAAATTTCTTCATTTTCAAACAATCTGCCTACAACAACACTTTTCAAAAATCTCAAAAACACTTATATAAGTATTCCAACTCATTACATGGCTATAATGCCTTATAAAATTGCGAATCAAATGAATCAAGAACAACATTTTGAGCATGAGTATTACATACTGAGGAGCTAAATCAGAGATTTAACAACCTGACGGTAGTGTGTTGCAAACACAATAGGCTTTGACTTGCAGGCCATCCAACCACTGTAACTCAGTATTTCACACAGATTCAAAGCAATAATCTGTTCAATAATCTCAAGTACACTTGCTTATTCTTCTCTTCGTAGAAGCCATCTTGGCGACTGAATCTGCACAAGGCTAATTAGCTTAGCCTCAGAGCTAATGGAGCTACATTAGCCTCCTAGTCCCAAACAAGCAAACCTCACATACCAAACATGTCTCGGCTGACCCACTACATTTGGGGTAAGGGGAAAACCTGCACTTGTTTTTTTGCCACACTCTCTGCCAAAGCAATGTTTTATTTATGTATGTCTAACGCAGGAAGCGGTTAATTCAGATTAGTCTAGGCATGCATCTATTTCATTCATAATAAAAAGGCTTAATGAGATAACAGTGCTTAAGATTAAGTGCAATCTAACAAACAACTCTAATGCCAATGCTAAGCAAACAGATCGATCTTAACAATCTACACCGATCAGGCATAACATTATGACCACCTCCTTGTTTCTACGCTCATTGTCCATTTTATCAGCTCCACTTACTATATAGGTGCACTTTGTAGTTCTACAGTTACAGACTGTAGTCCATCTGTTTCTCTGCATACTTTGTTAGCCCCCTTTTATCCTGTTCTTCAGTGGTCAGGACCCCCATGGACCCTCACAGAGCAGGTACTATTTGGGTGGTGGATCATTCTCAGCACTGCAGTAACACTGACGTGGTGGTGGTGTGTTAGTGTGTGTAGTGCTGGTATGAGCGGATCAGACACAACAGTGCTGCTGGAGTTTTTAAACACTGTGTCCACTCACTGTCCACTCTATTAGACACTCCTACCTTGTCAGTCCACCTTGTAGATGTAAAGTCAGAGATGATAGCTCATCTGCTGCTGCACGGTTAGTGTTGGTCATCCTCTAGTCCTTCATCAGTGGTCACAGGACGCTGCCCACAGGACGCTGTTGGCTGGATATTTTTGGTTGGTGGACTATCCTCAGTCCAGCAGTGACACTGAGGTGTTTAAAAACTCCAGCAGCACTACTGTGTCTGATCCACTCAGATCAGCGCAACACACACTAACACACCACCACCACATCAGTGTTACTGCGGTGCTGAGAGTGATCCACCCATATAGTACCTGCTCTGTGAGGGTCCATGGGGGTCCTGACCACTGAAGAACAGGGTAAAAGGGGGCTAACAAAGTATCAGAGAAACAGATGGACTACAGTCTGTAACTGTAGAACTACAAAGTGCACCTATACAGTAAGTGGAGCTGATAAAATGGACAATGAGCATAGAAACAAGGAGGTGGTCATAATGTTATGCCTGATCAGTGTATTTTTAATCATCATTCAACAACCACTACTTGTTTTATTGGGTTAGTAGCTCTGGCGCTGAAACATGCTTGGTAAATGCTGTAGCTATCACTTCCACAGCCTGCTTATCTCCAGCGTGGCTCTGGCTGAAGCTGAAGCTCAGGTTAGTGAAGCTGATGTACCTGAAGCATGCGCTCCTGCTCTTGCTGCCACCTTTCCTGCCGTTTGCGTTCTTCCTCGGGGTCCCACGAAAAGTGCTCGCCCCGCTTCGCCAGATTCAATACCGAGGGAGCAACCTGACCGTACCGCGTTCACGCCCGCACACGGACGTGCACACACACATACACGCACATAAAACACCACAGGAAAGGGGAAGGAATGAGGGGATAGACAGAGTTGGTCTAAAACTAATCCCAAGATTTACACGTTTCCTACGCTACCATTATGAAAGAAAAGGATGATGAATGGGAAAAGAAAGAGAGTTCGAGCACATCCTGCTACCTCCCCATCTGGCAGTGTGCAGTCTTTTGTTCTGCAGTGTGTGGTAATCCATTATTTTACTGATTACCTCATTAAATAATATCACTTATTTCTCAATTATGAATATAAAAGATGGTATTTTTCTTCAAGCTGATCAAACATTCCCACATAACTGTAACTATAACACAAGTAATCACTTGTAATTAGTAATTCATTAGATATATATTCATATATATACACCAGAGGAGAAACAGCAAGACAAGTCACTGAGAATGAGGAAGACAGACAGGTGACTGTAACGCTGTCACTTACATTTCCATGCTGTTTCTCTGCAGACTCTGTAGGAAAAAAGACAAAAGATTTACAAGTTGCATTTAATATACAAAAGAAATGGTGACACTTTATCGGGATGGCCCTCTGTAGATGCTTTATGGATGCTTATTTTGTTGCTAAATATCTATAAGCATGTTATGTTGTCCTTATTCCTGAACATGACATTCACTCTCACACTAACCTTAACCCTCAAACCAAGTCCTAAACCTCTAAAACTCTAACCACAACCTTATGTACATTAACCCTAACTGTAAAGCTGACCGTCTACATAGCTTCACCAAATAGTTTCTCCATAATTAAAGCGGTTGTAGATCATCTGTCCAAATTAGGCGTCACAGAGGGAAAAAAATGTGAGCCAACAAAAGCTAAGCTAGTTATAACTGGAGGAACATTAAGTATAAAGTATCAGGTAGTGAATGCACACACACTAGGGGGCAGTGAGCACACTTGCCCAGAGAGGTGGGCAGCCCTATCCGCAGCACCTGGGGAGCAGTTGGGGGTTAGGTGCCTTGCTCAAGGGCACTTCAGTCATGTACTGTCGGCTTAAGGGATTGAACCGTGACCTTCCGGTCACAGGGCTGGTTCCCTAACCTCCAGCCCATGACTGCCCCCTATGGGCTGTAACAGTAAGATAGTTTTCCATAAACTATGTTACTGAGGTGGAGAAAGGCAAGTTAAGGGCCAATGATAAGACTACACTGGCCCACTAACTTTCTTGGATGCAAACTTTTTCGAAGTCAAAGCCTGATCTCATAGACTAATAAAGCCACCTCATATAATTTTTAGTAAAGATGGCTAAAAAGGTGATGACAAAATAAGATGTCTTTGAGGTTAACTCAATCTCCCTGAAACTATGAGGAAAAAATGAAGTAAATGTAGTAAAAGAGATTAAAAAGGGAATAAACACATCAAAAAAAAATATTTTTAATAAAACCACATGTCACAATTACTGGCAGCCCCTGGAACTGTTTTTAGCAAAATGTAACTGAAGCAAGTCCCCATTTATGTTTCACCATTTTCAGGTGCACCTGAATGTTCAGAAACTCTTGAAGATGGTTAAAAAGGCAAAAAATTCTGTTCTCCAAGGATCATGGTTGGAGATTTACATTAAATGGTAGTATTCTGGGGTCACCTCCACGCCAACAAGCCTTTTCTTTGATCTGACCACAAATGTAACTGCCTGAAGTTCACTAGACAGTACTAAAACTTTGACTGGAACTTCGTTGTATGATCAGATTAAATAAAAATACAGCTTTTTGCCAACAAACACTCAATATGGGTCTGGCATAGAAAGAAGGATGGTTATACAGTTAAGTACCATGAGGATCTGTGAGGTTTTGAGGCCATTTTCTTCCAAAGACCCAGGGACTCAGTGGAGGTGCTTAGAGGTTTTCAATGAGTATCAGTCTGCATTCAGTTAAAAAAGCTAAAACTGGGATGTGGTTTGATCTTCCAGCAGGACAATGATCCAAAACATAAATTTAAAGCTTCGTAAAAATGGCTAAAAGACTACAGAATCAAGGCTTTGACATGGAAATCCCAGTATCCCATTCTAAACCCCATTGAAAACCTGTGGTATGAGCTGAAATTTGGAGCATCTGCAGAGATTTTGTACTGAGAAAGAGTCTTAGGCTTCGTTCACATTACAAGCCTCATTTTTGAAATCCGATTTTTTGCTCAAATCCGATCTCTCTGACAAGATGGTTCACACTTGTTTAGGTTATTAATTCAAATCTGTCATTAATGTGAATGAACAGGCTTCCTGAAATGACCCGCATGCACACATCGTACTCAGTAACGTCACGTGAATGAATCACGTTCATCATCAGCACAAACTAACGAGCAGAACGAGCTTCGCTGAGAAGATAATTAACTCTGATCAGCTCTCAGCTTCATTATTAGAGCGAGACGAAGGAGAAAAAGGTGAGATGTGTTGCTTTTCCATCGTTTACAGGCTTTAACTTCTGTTCGGCGCTGTTGCCATGGTAACGCTGAATGACAGCGCATGCGCAGTGGAAAAAAGCAAATGAATTCGGATCCGAGCATCACATTAAGGTCACATGGCCACGAATTGGATACGTATCCAATCTACAACCACATATGAAAGATGCTCTGGTTGGATTTGAAAAGATCAGATTTGCGTGTCCACACAGCCCTGAAAACATCGGATCACATTAGGGCAAAAAATCAGATTTGTGCCACTTCAGCCTGGTAATGTGAACGCAGCCTCAGATTCCTTGCTCTACATTCTGCAATCTCATCAGTCATTCTAGGAGAAGACTCACTGCTGCTATGTTGGCTAAGAAAGGCTGCATAAATGACTAAATGCAGGGGTGCCAATAACTACACATGTGGTTTTGTTCTGTATTAATTATTTATCATTTCTAATTTACTGAAACAAACAAGAATTCAGAATGTAAAATGTTAAATATTGAATGTAAACATAATTATATGGTTATGTAATCGATTAATTGTGTAACTATGTGATTACATTTAAACAGTATAGCAAAATGATAACTCCACATGTCTGAACGTTAAAATCATACTATAATTCTTCAACTCATGATATGAAGCTTAGTTAATGCAGGGAACATGAAACACGACCAGACAGGTTAAGTTCAGAGAGTTTTAAGGATGTTTCACAGATACTGGAAGTAAATTGCATTAATAACACACCCACAAGTGGACATCAGACAAAAAGTGCAAAACAACCAGTGTGGGGTTAGAGCAACGTGACAAACGTGGCACATTAGCCAATGGGAAGACCAGAGGAACACTCCACATCACGGGGCGGGGCAAAGCTCAGCCAATCAGTCAAGGTTTACCTGACGAGGTGAAGAAGTCCCAGCGTAACTTAGGGTTACTGGACAACGGTGTTAGCTGGGCACTGTTCAGCTCTACACAGCGACCCAGAGTCAGGGAGAGAGGAGAGCACATGTGAGCAACTGCTCAACCTCTAAACGTCTGCACGGTGAAAAGACTGTCAGGGGATGTGCTGAACTGTAACTTGCCTGTTGCTGGAGGTTCACAGACTGGCTGGGGTTTAGACTGGTCTTCACTGGCTGGTTCAGACTGCTTTGCAGTTCTTAGTGGAGATTCCAGGAGAGGTTTGCTGACCTAGAACATGAAGCACATAACTTAGGATACAAGAAATGCACAGTACAGTACAGTACAGTACAGAATAGTACATTAGTTCTAAAATAAGTATTTAACTAAATTTAAGACTGAGCAAAGTGGTTTAAATGGCCCACATCAGGGAAAATTCCCAGTACGATGTAAACACTGTTTTAAAATGTGCCACTCACTTTCCAGTAATTACAGTCCAGGTATGGATACTAAGACACAAAAACAGCCTGTTTTTAATTTATCATTCATATGACATCACAACCATGAACACATTTTGAAATATAAACGCACTTAGCCATTCACGTTGAAATAATAAGAGGTGTTTTATTGGAGAAAGTCTGTTACAAAGATATTTTAGTGGAAGCTGTCGGGAAAAATGATTCATTGTTGTACTGTTCCTGGCTGTCAGGAAGCAAATGTATCATTGACCAGGATTTAGACATCCAAGAGGAACTGCGGAAGTTAATTTTTTCCAACGCCCCTCAGGATTTGAGTGTGAAAAGCTTGTTCTGAACTTTTCAGCCCAGTCTGCTTTTTAAAAAAGGCACAATTCAAAGTAGCCGACGAAAACAGAGCTGATTTACATATCAGTTCTAAAGGCACAGTAACAAAGCCTGTCCAGTGCTAAGGGATAAAGAGCGGTTAGAAAATGGTCAGGTAAAATGTAGAATATGGACTTTTGAAGGGAATTTCTAATGATTTTCAAGATGTCAGATTAATTAAATAGTTAAAATGCAAACAAAGTTCTCCAGAGTGGTTATATGTGAAATGGTCCCTTCTAGAAAAACTTACCAAGAATTGTTTACAGTATGTGGTGATCGGAACCAGACGTCTACAGCATTTAATGTCTACAAATGCTACACCACAAAAGTGACATGAAATTGTTATAAATATGCTTCTGGTTGTCTGAGGCATTGTTTTACAACAGTTCTGAGTAAGCTTTTGGCCTAAAGCAACAAGCTTTTTATTTTCAAAAAGACATTGGTGGAGAGCTGCATGCAGGCCGCTGTCCTAGAAGAAAACATAACATATAAAACATATAAAAACTCATTTTGGATGCAAAATTAATGGGCTATGTTTGCGTGACAGACTCTTCTGGTTCCTATCACTACCACTGTACACACACACTGTAACAGATGTGTTAAAAAACTACACATTGTGTCTCTAACTAGACACATCAGTGTGCTCATTTGGTGACAACACACTTTGTTACTTTTAATACAAAATATTTTGAAATATTCCTGCGTCCAGATACACACAACACATTCTGTCTGACTTTTATTACAGAATGCGGTAAAAAGGTAAAGATAAAAAGAGGTAACACAAGTAATTGTGTTGTTATTTAACACATCACTTTTTAGAGTGCAAAGAAAGGTGGGTTGGTAAGTTTCTCCACAATAAACCATTTCAGTCCACAGAAATTTTGAAAAACTGGTGAAATTCCACTTTAAAAGTTTTCTTGCAGCATACCATATAAGACATTAATACTGTGGCTAAGTCAAGGATGAGAGACCAATCATTAATAACAAGGTTTAAAACAGAACGTTTTCCAAAACGTACCTCTGTAGCTGCAGTGTCACTGTGAGAGGGAGCCTGTGTCTCCTGTGTGGTCTGCACTGTGCCATTCTGGCTGATTACAGTAGAGTCAGTACTGTCCCTGGTCAGCTCCTCTAGAGATCGCTCACTCTCTATTAGGAAAACATTAAGAAAATAAACACTCTGCATCCAAAGGCACCATCCCAGCTGGCGTGTTTGAGTTTTTTTATATCCACATATGCACATGCTTGTGAGGAACAGAAGCCCACAGGGTGACCAATTTCTCATTTTGGTGTCCAAAGATTTGCTCATGAGCCCCCTATGCATTATTTTATTATTTTAATATAGTTTTTGGTGAAAACTGCATGAATGCAGACTCAAGCTCTAATTCAAAATTCCTCAATATGGGTTTGAACATCATTTCAGCTACATTGTGACTTATCAATCAATACTTTGAGTCCAGCTGAGCAATAGCAAGCTAGAAAACATTCACCTAATCCTTTATTTTACTTCACAAAACAAAGTTGGGACACTAAAAGGGATACTATCCAAATGCATACACATTCAAGAGACCTCCAACATACCATCCAATACACCTGACAGTAAAAAAAATAACACACTGAAAGAGAAAGTTGGAAAAGAAAGCTAAGAAAACAACTCAAAGAATGTTGGGTTGAATTAATCTGACACAAAAAGATTGTCTCTTGGTAATAAAACGTCTGTGAGATTACAGATGCACCAAAAATTCCAAAATCAAAAGAGAAAAATGTCATGTAAAGAGACGCTACGTGCTCAAAACCTGCCACGCTCTGGTCATTCCAAGGAGAACATTAACAAGCCTGGTTGAGCATCAGTTGTGCAAATGCATGCACTCCATGCTTAGAAGACCTGAAGCTGCCTTCGTAAAGAAAGGATACGCAACAAAACACTGATCTAAATCAAATACTAAATACTGACCTACATAAAGGAAAGAGACAATCATGTTTGTTACATTAATGTTTCAGTAATTTTACTACCTTAACCTCTGAAATGGCCAGGGCTCACTGGGGTGCCCAAAGTTCTATTACACAAGATTAGCTCAGCCAGTTTGCATTGAAGCCCCTGTACTAAAAGTACGCTTTAGCATGCAATAAGCCTGGGATTTAATGGGGTTAAATAAGTTTTTAGTTAATTATCAGGATCATTTTGAGATTCAGGTAGTAAACGTGTTTGTTATGGCTGGTTGATAGTATTTTCGATAATGTCTTAATGTCTTGTCACTGAGCTGCATTCTGCTTACGTAATCTTGTGGAGCCGACTGTAACAAATTACCTAACTAAAAAAAGGTCTAACTATTAACATAAATTCACGAACGGCATATCTTGTATTTGACACAAGTCTGTCCGGTAACAATTTCTATGAATGTCACCTTTGTAAGCATCTATAAACACATTCATGAATGTTATAATGCATTCATAAGACATTATAAACATAGCTATACATATTTATAAAAATGCATTATACATTATAGCCATGTTTATTATGCATTATGAATTGTTAACATAATACATTATAAGTACTGATCATAACAAATTATAAGAGCTCATAAGTCGTATTTGTCCACTCTAAGTAAAGTGAAGCGTACTGTACGAAAGCCTCCTCCAGTGTTCAGAGTGAGACTACAAGTTGAAGTATTTACTGAAGGATTTACTGAAACACTAAAACATACACAGTAAAGCACATTACAGGCTTCAAATGTCAGAGTTTAAAATAGTGCTGCCATCAGTGTTTTACCCAATGTGGGAAAGGTAATGTTCACCACCGTTAGCTTGGTATTTGTCTTTACGTTCTCCAAGCTGGGACTTCTTTGGCACTGACATTGTAACATGTTATTAACACTATTTATAATGCATTATATTAACAACTCATACTGTATAATAAACATGGCTATAAAGTGTAATTCAGTGTAATTCTTTTTTATAAATATTTATAACCATATTTATAATGCCTTATGAATACATTATAACATGTTATAAATGTGTTTATAGATGCTTACAAATGTGACATTCATAGAAAGTGTTACCGTCTGTCCTAAACAGCTTGTTGCTGACATGACATGAACTGCTGACCTGGAGGAGGGTTGTGGGGCTTAGGGCACTAATAAGGACAGGGCCAGAGCAGAACTACAAGCAGAAGGATGGGAAAATTCATGGCAACAGACCTGGTAACGCCTGTGTGCTGGGCTCCTCCTCTTTTACGGGTGGAGACACTGCCCTGGCCTGTGGGAGCTCCTCTTCCTCAGCTGGCAGCTGCTAAAAGTATACAAGCCCAAACAGACAGTTCTTTTATTGATATTATACAACAAAGTGTACTTTAAATGAATAATGTTAAAGGATCACAATCTAATAGAGGTCTGTGAGAGCTACTGGAGCGCCTGCCAACATGACACACAAGCTCGAATGAGTCACAGCTTGGAATCTGTGATAAAAGCTAAAATTTCATCATTAAATGCATTACAAGGCAAGTGTGTGTGTGTGTGTGTGCGTGTGTGTGTGTGTGTGTGTGTGTGTGTGTGTGTGTGCACGCACACGTGTTTGTTTTCGTACATTTTTATCTTAACTTTGTAGAAATATAGAAAAAAACAAAGCTAACCTACAATGTCAGGATGAACAAAATCATTCTGACTTTGTAAAATGATTCTTTCCAAAAGCTCCAGGTTCCTTTTTTTTAAAACTAAGCCTGTGTAGTGTGAAAGATTTGGTAGGCTCATAAAAATCAGCCATTGGTCAATTTTGCTGTAAAGAAACAGGACTTAGAATCATCCATTAAAATTCATCATCAGTGCACCCTTAGCACTTACATATATGTATTACATACAGGACATTATTTTTAAATATAGACACTTATGTATCATTCCTGTCATGACAAAACCTTGTACCTCATCTTTTACTTTTCTGCGTAATTTGAAGAAGCCAGTTGCCCTTTACATTGTGCTAAAATGTCAAGCTGAATGGATCAACAGAAGTGGTCCAAAATCGCTTGGAAAAACATTTGGTTGCGTTAACTTCCACAAAAAATTACAAATGGTTTTTCCTTCTCCTGTAAAGTAACCATTTTAAAGATGTACAGAATTTCAGATATTTATATTACATTTTTTTCAAGATTCTAAAAAATAAATAAATAAATAAATAAAAAAAATAAAAAACCACACAACAGATTTTCAATGTGATTTCAGACTTTGGGACTCCGATCGCTATACAGATTATTTTTTAAGCAATATTGGTGCCTTTTTATTGGTCCTTTCTTCATGAAATTGTCATGCAATGTAAAGAATGGCTGCCATATTCAAATTATATACATACATACATCATCTAAACCGCTTATCCTTCTGGGTCGCGGTGGGGTGCTGGAGCCTATCTCAGCTGTCATTGGGCGGAAGGCAGGATACACCCTGGACAGGTCGCCAGTCCATCGCAGGGCAGACAGACAGACATACACAGTCACACACACACACACACTCACACCTAGGGGCAATTTAGCATGTCCAATCAGCCTGACTGCATGTTTTTGGACTGTGGAAGGAAACCGGAGTACCTGGAGGAAACCCACACAGACAACAGGCAAACTCCACACAGAAATGACCCTGGCCACCCGGCCGGGAACCGAACCCAGGCTATTCTTGCTGTGAGGCGACAGCGCTACCCACTGCGCCACCATGCCGCCCTCAAATTATATAGAAAAGTGAAAATCGCAATAAAAATCACAATAGAGATACATGTCTTTGAATAGTGACGATATATATCGCTGAAAAAAAAAACTCTCCAAAATGGTAACTTTACAGGAGACGTGAAAAACCTTCTATACTTTTAATGTAAGTCAATGGAACCAGACGTCTTTCCAAGTCATTTTTGGCCGTTTCTTTTGGTCCATTCTTCATGAAATTTACATACAACATAAAGGGCAACAGGTATTTTCAGATGTCAAAAACTGAAAAATTATATATCTCAATTATACATATGGCAATTATACATATGGAACATGGATCATAGTATTATTACTACAATAATTTATACAGTTGTATGCAGAAGTTAGGGCACAATTACTGTTTACTTGCTAAATTGAACCCACTGGAGAAAAACACAAAACACAGCCTGTACAAAAGCTATGGCACATTATATTTTATAATATATATCACAGGATGTTCCCTGTAGAGGATGTGTTAACTTATTTAAGAAAATCAACAAAACACGTAATTTGACTGGGGGTCCGTACTTTAAGGGCTCCCATATGATCTCATGTCCTATAAAATGTCTCAATGCGCTTATGTATGCATGTATGTGAGCATGTGTGTGTGTGCAGACCGTGGGGAAGGAGGTGGGTCGGCTGGGCGTCTGTTCTTTCTGTGTTTCCTCTTCCTCCTGGCTCTGTGCTTCTGGCGCCATGCCACACTGTCCCGCTGCCTCCGAGTCCACTCTGTCCACACACTCTGGCTCAGGAGTGTGTGTCAGTGCGTGTGAGGCTGTGTGTTTGTCTGAAGACTGAGATTCTGAGGTGGGCTGTTCTGTGCTGTCTGAGTCTGTGTTCTGGGAAGGAGATGGGTAGAACAGCATAGGAGAGGAGTCTTCTTCTGTTTCTCTTTCTCTCTCTGCCTCCCGTTCTCGCTCCTCTCTGGCACTGCGGTCGTCGTCCGTTTCGCCGTTCACTCGCTCCATTTCATCCCACTGAAAAGAGACAAAGACAAAGGCTGACATTACAACATCTTCAGGCTCACAAGGCCACAACCAAGTAAACATTCACCACATAAATTAAAGCCAGGCTTGTTACCCACTGAAAGTGATCAGAACAGAGTAAACGTCTGCATGAATTACAGTCCTGTGTGAATGTATGTAGGCTGTAAAGAGAGTGTTTCGTCACGGCTGAGACTTTTTGTACCCGCGGAGTCATTTCACACAGAGAAAGCCCCCCTCACACACACATTCACAGAGAACACAGAACACTGTCACCTATTCACCATGCTTCCTCCCACTCCACACACTACCCATAGCACCCAGTAGGGGGCTCCATAAACCTGCACATTTCTGTTTGAAGACACTTCTGACAGTATTCCGGCTCCTCCAGCTAAAACTCATGCACTGGCAACCTATAATCATGATTTAAAAGGCCAATATACTACATTTTTCTTGCAGTTTACATTTTTCCCTGAGGTCTGCTTACAATACTTCTGTGTTTTATGAACAAGAAACAACTATAACTCATTTCTACATGACTATTTTCCAACCTCTCTTTATTAAACTGGGTGTTTTTACTACTGGGATTTTAAGGCTGGCTTTACAGAGTTAAACATTTAGTTGCTCGAAACCGATATGAAACTAAATTGCAATCGATTGACAATAAATTGAAACTCAGCTGCAACAGTTGCATCCATCTCAACTTTGTGAAACAAAGCCAATCAAAATGCAGATAATGTATAACATGATCATGTCTAGTTTTTGAAAGTTTTTCATTCTGACTACAAACATGAGTTTCTTGAATCTAACGTTTCTGTAACAGGTGGCTACAGGAAAAAAAACATGGTAATGATAACTGGAAAAATTACACGAAGATGATAAAAATGCTGTACATATGTAAAGAACACACAGTGAGAAAATTTGATCTAATGGATTAATCAAATGTGTTGCATGCAACTTTGAACTGCTTTGTGTAACTTGCAGGTTGCACGAAATAATGGTGCATGTAACACACAGCAAGCTACTAGCTGCATTAAAGTTCCACTGTGTACAGCCAACCTAAAGCGCTGTTCAGAAGGTATTCGTTTTACAGTGGTAGGTAAAACTGGCATTTCTCATCTGCCATGTCAGTCAGTACTTCAAAAATGAGGCTTAGAAATAGATCCAGGTTATATCAATCCTAAGTGAATCTACATGTAGATGAAAACGTGACTATATTCTATGGAAAAGGAGTTTTGAAGGGCCCATAGAAATGTTTACACGTCTTCTCTGTGGCTAAAATCAGGCCAATATGAACTGCCCTACCTAAAGTGTCCCAGGCTACACATTAAAATGTACAAACTACAGGAAAAGGTTTGATTGGATGTGGTGATGTTGAGTGTTGGCTGAGAATTCACAGCTAATTAGAAAACTAATGACGCTGCGTTCGTTTCAGCAACACAGGTTAGAGTAAATGGAACATTGGCTAAATTAAATGTTTTGACATGTTTTCTACTTTTTCTGGAGTGCGTCAATCAAGTAGCCCCTCCCATCTCTGCCATGTATACTGAAATTTCCGAATAGTACTTAAGACTGATAAATGTAAATGAGATTTCATGTATATTTGAATATTCCATAAGTGACATTTTGGATCTATTCAGATATTTAGTTCAGTTGGCTGACATTAACTTATTGCTATTTTTACTCATAAGTTAATACACGAACTGATGCACTGGTGCTAGAAGGCTAACAAATGGTTAGTACGAAGGTTAATTTAGCAGCAAACAGAGGCACATTAAAAAATAGTCTTTAATATAAATAGTTCATAATATTTTATGAATGTTGACAAACCTTTGTTTTCCTTTTCAGCTTTAGCAGAAAAAAATGTTTGATGATGCATGAATTGTTGCAAAAACCTACTTTGGACTCTGGCGTCTGAACCTTGTTTTGGTGTTTGTTGGTCCTTTTTCTCTTTGGCTTGAACAACGATACATTCATTATTTCCAAAAACAATCAGAAAAGTGGACTCATCAGACCACAGAACACGCTTCCACTTTGCCTCAGTCAATCTCAGATGAGCTTTAGCCCAGAGAAGTCAGCGGCGTTTCTTAATGTGGTAGAGTCTTGCATTTGTAGAGGTAGAGACAAACTGTGTTAACAGACATAGGATTTCCCAGGTATTCCATAGCCTATGTGGTTATATTCAGTACAGAAGCATGGCGGTTTTTAATGTAAAGCCATCTGAGGGATCGAGGGTCACAGGCATTCAACATTTTTGCTGAGAAATAATGTTCTTAAACCGTTGGACTTTTCATTCACACAACTTTTTGCAATGTGGCAACTGAGCTTTTCGTGAATGCTCCTTTTATGCCCAATCGTGACTGTATTATCTGTTATCTATTCACCTGTTTACTTGTGGAAAGGTGTAAAGTTCCAGAACAGGTGTTTTTGATCATTCCACAAACTTCCAGGTCTTACTCTGCCCTGTCCCAACTTTTTTTGGAATGTGTTGCAAGCACCTAATTTGGAATCAGCATATATTTAAAAAAATCAATAATGTTGATAAGGTAAAATATTAAATATCTCTATGTGCTGTTTTCAATTAAATACCTGTAAAATCTCTGCTTTTATTTGCATTTTACCTACTTTTTTTAAATTGAGGTTATACATTAAATTAGAGATGGAAACATCAAATACAATTTACAGCATTATGTAATGCATTTTTATCACTAAAAGTTGATGTAAACAAGCTTCTGGGCAGCAACAAATCACATTTTCTCTATGCATTTTTTTTTAATGAAAACTCGTCTAAGCGGCTTATCCTCCTGGGTGTCGGAGGTGCCGGAGCCTATCCCAGCGGTTATTGGGATGAAGGCCGGCAGGAGAATCACCAGTAGCAAAACAAATAAATGTTTACAAACAAATAACTACCTGGAAGTAGTTAAAAAGCGGGCTAACCTTTTTGAATTTTGCACATTATTACTTTTATCTCTTGAAAACAGACTTATGGTCTGCAACGTATTTGTGATAATTTCATCTCTATTTAAACAGGAACTTTGTACCTTGGACGATCTCGCCTCAGCACTGGCCGCTCTGCCATGGCCGAATGGTTTAGGGGCGAGTAAAGGTGCGCTCCGCTCCAAACGGGAGGCTCGTGAACTTCTGCTTGTGTCCCAATGACCTGCTCCGTATCCTGTTACTCGGGCCTCAACAGTGGCGGTGAATTTGGGTGCAGGCAGGGACTGCTGGCGCAGGTACTGCAGAGGGCTGGACGAGGAGTCGAAGGGGTCAGGAGTGGTGGGGGAGGAGGAAAGGCGTGTGGGGTCAGCAGATACACTGCGCTCCAACAGCTTGGGCAGTTTAAGGCGTTCCATTATAGCCTCGCTGATGGTGAAGCGCTGGGCGTAACGCTCCAGCACCGCAGCCGCCTCCTCCGGAGTTTTAGCCTTCAGGTAGGCCTCATGAAGCTCCCGCTCTCGCCGCTCCCTTACAGAGAGAAACAGAGAGACAGAAAGGTTAGCTAGTTACACATCTATCTTCACCTTTTTTGGTCTCTTTATTTATCTGTATATTACACCCAGTGTAAAGATTTATACAATGCAATTAATGCTTACAGATACACTGGTCAGCCAAAACATTATGACCTATTATGCCAATTGTGGTGTTGGTCCTCCACATGCTACCAAAACAGCTCCGACCCACTGAAAAATGACATATGAAGGCGCCCCGTGGTATCTGGGATCAACATGTCAGCACATCCTTTAAGTCTAGAGGGTTGCAAAGTGGAGCCGTTCTGATCAAACTTCTTGTTCTAGCACATCCCACAGATGCTCGATCAGATTGAGATCTGGGGACTCTGGAGGCCAGTGCAACACCTTGAACCCTTCCTCATGTTCCTCAAATCATTCCAGAAGAATGTGTAGCCACTGATAAACTGGCCATATTTCAGTTATTCATCAGCCACAACATTAACACTGCAGGCTGAAACCATCCACACATGGAAATACAGATATAATGTATATACACACAGACTCTCTTTAATAACAGAAACATAAAAGTAAGCCAAAAACATTATTTCCACTTATTTCCAACCAAAGCCACTTTAACACAGATCAAGTCGTACTTATGACCTCCGAAGTCGTAAGTAGGAGCTTCCGAGGAGGACTTGAAGGCAGCAGTATTGCTCAGTGGTCCAGTTCTGATGCTTACATGCACATTAAAAGGCGTTTTCAACAATGGACCGTGGGTTAACATGGGCACTTCGACAGGTCTGCAACCCCGTATACAGCAGGGTGCAATTCCTCCAGTAATTATCATTAAAAAAAATTGTGACTTGTGCTATTGTGGCTCTCCTCTTGGTTCAGACCAGATGGGATAGTGTTCATTGTCCTCGCACATTGATGAGCCCAACACCCTGTTGCCGGTTCGTTGATTATCCTTCCTCGGACCACCATTGGTAGGTACTCACCACTGCTGACTGGGAGGCCTCACAAGCCTTGCTGTTTCAGAGATGCTCCAAACTCACTCATCTGACCATAACATCTTGGCACTTGACAAAGTCGCTCAGCTCTTCACGCCGGCCCATTTCTCCCACATCCAACACGTCGACTACGAAAACCGACTGTTCGCTAAACGTCTATCTCAGACCTCGACATGAGCCGCTGTTATGAACTACTCAATGTTATTCGCCTCATCTGTGAGAGGTCAAAATGTTTTGGCTCATCTGCGTATCCGCAAAAGTCTTTGGCCTAATCTGTGACTGCTAAAATTAAGCTCCAGTACTTTGTAAAAAACTTCATCATCCACTGACATCATCCTCTATTCTGCAGTGATGAAGGGTAAAGGTCAGTAATAAGCTAAAAACTTGAAGCTAAAGAAAGGTCAGAAAATGTGGACCGACAGACATACTTGTCCTCCACAATCTCCCTGTAGGTCTTTATACTCTTCCGCCTCTGTGAGCCTTCGTCTTTGTTCAGCAGTCGCTCCATCATCTTCCTCTCCTCCTCTTTCTTTATCAGGTCCTGAGACACACTCCTCCTGCGACTCTTCCACCGTGCCAGATCCTGAAAATAGAAACAGACCACAAATATACCGGCATATATTTTACATACAGCACCTAGCATTCACTACCATATGTACTGTGTACAGTAATCATGCCAAGTTATTGCTCTCATGAATCAAAGACACTGAACATTTTGCTGTCTTCCCTCTAATAAGACTATTGTGCATCATCTCCGACTTCAAGCTTTGGAAAATTCTGTTCAAACATGGTGTTTTTACATACTCATCCTGGTCAGGTGCAGCACTGAGCCCAGCATGCTGAAGGATCCCGCCATAGCACTAGGGCTCATATGGACTACAGCAGTGTTCTTCAAACCAGTGCCCTCCCATTCATAACATTTTAGTGTAATAACTTTGTGATGTAGCTTTTAGAAGCATTAAATTCTTCAGATGTCTGGTTCCCATCACCACCACTGTGTCAGCTTCTCTGGAAGGGAGCATTTTCCATCAACCCATTCTGAATGACTGACTGGTCATTCTCTAAGTGTGACGTTGAGACATTAATAGCTGGTACTGTGTCTAACGTTAAACAAAATAGTGACATCTGAGCTATAAACAGAAATATTTCAAAATCAAAGAGGATAAATTTGTGCAGTAAAGACAAAGTAGTGCAAAGCCAAGAAATTATCATTCGGTATTGCGTGAAATCATACACCTAAAACAAAAATAAATCTCTAAATCAACTGCGTGATCAGGAATTCCATTGATGGTTAAGATATGAACAAAGTCATTCAGAGTGGTTTGATGTGAAATGCTTTGTTCTAGAGAATCTTGCTGGTGGTCATAGGAACCAGATGTCTGAAGCTCTAAATGCCTCCTTTATAGAAAGTTATTAAATGAAATGGTTGCAAATCCGCTGCTGATATCTAAAACAATCGTTTTGAGAAGGTTTCGGGTTTTTTTTGTGTATTCATGATGGAGAGCTGCATTCGGGGTGTTGTAAAACAATACTGTCCTGCCAAAATAGTCTTTTTTAGGATTTATCACTATTTTAGCAGCATCACCATCATTTTCTACAATGAACCATTTCACATCAAACCACTCTGCATGACTCTGTTTATATCTTAACACCTGAAATCTAGACACATTTTGATAATTCCCTTTTAAGAACGCTATAAACAAATGCTAAACAACTTGTCTTCTCTTACATCCTCGCCCAGGGATCCACCTCCCTGCCTGCAGAGGTCGCTCTCACTTCAGCTTTAGTCTGATCACTACATACCTGACTGTTTTTAGTCATCTATTTCCCTATTTATAGCCTGTGAATTCCCATGTTATTTGCAAAGTCTTTTTAGAGAGTTTCTCTGTCAATTCTGAGCCTTATTTTTTCTTATGAGCCGCTGGATTTTGACACTTGCCTATATTTCTCGGTTTTTGAGTTTTGGATGATATCTTGGATTTTGTCGTACAGAACTTGAGATTTTTTCTCTTTTTTTTACCGGGACTGTCTTTGGCTTATGATCTTTGAAGTTACCCAGTTTGTAAATAAAGATTGTTTACACCTGCTTCTCTTCTTCAGCGTTGCATCTTCCTTTATTTTGTTTTTTATTCATAAAAAAAAAGCATATTCTTGCTGGAATTACAATTTGTTTAAAAACGCAGATATTTGATTAGCAAAACTGGTATTCCTAATATGGTCACTCACATCCTGCCAGTGGCTCTCCTCTTCCTTCATCCGGGTATACTGGCCATGTATCAGCTCATGACGGGCCTGACTGTGGGGTGGAAGCATGGGGTCTTCTTCACTCCTCATGTCAATCATACTCATACTCCTAAAACGAAGACAAAGAGGGTGAGCACACGATTCACTTGAATCACTGCATTCAGACAGATACGTTCCATTCTGAGCACGTTTGAGAAGGAACAGACTGACTGGAACTTCAGAAAAGCATGGATGAGTGTTGTGTATAAAGAATTAGCCATGCCTTTCATTTAGGCCATGCAGCTTGAGCAGCGCAAGAGAAATAACCACGAAGAGGTACATTGAAATGCAGCAGCAGTAAGTCTTGTATCAAAGTCGCAAGCTGGTTTCCAGGTATAATACATATAATACGCGTACATAAAGATTAAAATCGTTACTGACAAAATATCATATGCTGTTTAAGCCACCATCACCCTTTGTTACCGCTCAACAGCTCTGAAGGTATAAACTCTCAAGCCCAAGTTTAATTAATACCCAAGACCAACAACAGAGTCTGGCTGCAGACATGCACTCTCAGACAGATGCACTCTCAGCCCCAGTGACGTCACGTGCACATGCACTCTCTGCCATAATGGCAGGAGCGACCCAACAGCGCGGTAACACTTGGCTGCTTTGGCTTAGCGATATCATCACTTAATCCATTTTTCGTCCATAACACAGCTAGAGAGTTACATATAATGTATCTCCCTGTTGAAAAAAAATCATAGAACCCATTAAAAGTGTCTGTTGGTTCCTGGTGGTGTCCAGTAGTCGTTAATGGTATTCTGTGTTTTCCTGATGGGTTGATATCAGTGTAAAAGAGTCCAATCATTTAATCAGTTGTTTTAGGACTGATTCCAGATAGATTTGATCGTTTCCTAATGGTCTCAAGCCCATTCCCTTTAGGAAGCAAAACCATCAAGTTTTATTCCTAACGGTTCTAAACATCTTCAGCATGGCTTTCGTGAGTTTCAGCGGTGGTCTGATTTTTTCTGCGAATGAACCCCACATTCATGTCTGATCATTGTGGTTTTATTTTGAAAGTTTTTTATATTTGATTACCTTATTATCAGTACGACAATGTTAGTATATGTTCAGTGTAGCTCTTCTTGCCAAACAGTACGTGATTCGCTGTTTTTCCTCATAAAACCGACAAAAACACTGTCGTGGCAGAGCAGCAATGACGTCATCAATAGGCTGGCGGTGCATGTCAGGCTGAGAGTGCAGGTCTGCAGCCAGACCTTCTCAAGACCAAAACAAACTGGATTCAGAGACGAGTTAGTGAGGGTGTAGAGAAAGCCTGGTTCAAAATCAAAGCCGTGTGAATCCTGCTCAAGGTTTATGGTGTACCACACAGGATACAGCACACTGGAAAGATCATCGTGAAGCAAAATGGACATTCTACAGATATCTTTTAGCTACTCAATCATAAAGGGCTTGAAGTTCTCTTTTTTTTATTTTTCATCCACGTGAATCATGCACCAGTTGCATGTCATGTAATTAAACAGCAATGTTTAGAAAATTACCTTTCAAAGCTCCTCTATATAAGATATGGGGATTTGGAGACCTCTCTGGTGGAAATGTGTAATGTGTAAAAGTGTGTAACATGTGGAAGAACATTTCATAACGTAGGCTGTGCCCCAGACCCCAATGAGTGGATGAATCTATGATTGTGAGTGCGCTGAAAAAGTATTAAAAGAGAGCTCGGTCAAAACGTGGTGAAGGACCTGTCCTCTGAGGATGTTAGTGAACTGTCTACTGTTATCATATCTTCATCAGTATAATGCTGAATTTTTTTGCTTTCGAGACCTAAAATGTTGAGCCGGATGTTTGATCTTGTGTGCGTGATGTTAATATATTTGACAGGGGCCAAAAAACCCAACACTCTGACTTTTAAATATTTATTTCAGGCTTTACAGAGTGACTGGCAGCAGCATATTTTAGCATATTTGTTTTTTTTTTATAATAGATTGTAAAAGGCCAGGTCCCTAGGCAGTTTCTGGTCTAATGTAAAAAGAAAATTAGGTGAAATAAACATTAGGATGTAACTAGGCCAGCAATGTAAGCTGAGGCAATCAGATGATTTGCATATGTTTATCTTTATCGGTGAATGGAATCATGTGATAAGGCTTTTGAACTGAAACTCCAGGACTTTTTCAGCACGTTAAATGATGGGTATGATTGGTATAATACTCTTTTTTGTGGTCTTGTTTGCGGTTTATACAGGGTGATTCAAAAAGATTCATTCTCAAAGCGCCATATTTTTTACAACCGTGAGGCGCTGAGGAACCAATCACAATCCAATTGAAAGAGGAGGCAGAGTTTAGAGTTTCTGACTGGCTCCCTTCAGTCTGAGAGGAGATGAGACCCCTGAGCAGAAAGCGTTCTGCGTTCTCCACTTCAATAAGAGTGAATCCGTCATAACTGTGTAACATGATTTTGGTCGGCAGTGAATCTCCAACAGCTCAGAGTGTTCGTCGTTGGTTCCACAACACTGGATGATCTCTGAAATCGCACTGAAAGAGCCGTGAGTGCAGCGACACCCGACATGCTCAATCGAGTATGGGATGAATTTGGCTGTGGCGTTGATGTTGTCTGTACAGCTGGAGGAGGTTCATATTGAGACCTTGTACAATTACATCATAAACTTTATGCTCATTTAAACCATTTACAGTTTACTGCATTGTTCTGTAATGATTTACAAGTGAAATCATTTTTGCTAATCAGATGAATCGTTTTGAATCACCCTGTATTTTGCAATAATAACAACATGATGGTGGCGGTCAGTGGCACTCTAAGCCATTGTGCTGGAGGCATGGTTCAGGGCAAAAGTTGTGAAAAAAAAAAATTGTTGTGTTCCAGGTGAAGTAGCCTTTAGACAGTAACATAGTTTTATCATAATGCATGTGCTTCAAAGTCCAATAAGTGATCATCTGCATCAGTACTGTAAAACAAAACCAGATGGCAGACATTTGTGGTTGTTTTATGAACTCAGTACAGTGTTTAACTGGTGTTGACAGGCCTTCAAAGAAAAGTACCAGATCTTATTGTCTGTAACTGTGAAGTTCAGCAAACAGACCAACCCAGCTTGGTTTTATGGTTTGTCTTGAGGCTAAGAACAGTTTCAAGTTTTTCAGTCTGAACAGATGTCCCAATTTTCTGTGCAATGTCTCATTGTTTGAGAGAACACAGTAAAAGTTCAGGACAAACCTAAATTCTAAAAGACATGGAGACACAAGAACAGTTCCTATGTGATTTGTGCATCTTGACAAACTGGTTAAAGAAAAACAGCTCAGTGAAAAATCTAATTTACACATTTTTCCTCCTTAATCCAAATATGGTCGATCAGCCAAGACATGTACGGCGTCTAAACTTTGCTTTAGTTTTGCTAAATAACGCCAGTTATCAGGGTGTAAACTGCATGTCTAAATCATCACACCTACAGACAGACTTATAGACTGTTAGATATACTGACATGACATACAGTAGTACAGTATAACAGAATGCCAAACACTAAACAATTAAAACTGACATGGCACAACTGCTTAATCATCACAGGAGTATGAGTTTGAATCCTGGCGGTGCCGGACCCCTCTGTGGTCAGATACAGGAGAAAACCCTCACAATTAGCGATGACTACATTGAGCGAGGAACTGAATAAAAAACCCACTAAAAATTTAAGCCATCACAGCTTATAAGGAGGTAACCACATTCACTGGAGCTCACTGATTGGTCTGGCAAAATGGATGACCAACGTAACTGACATTATTACAGTGTTTATCTAGCTAGCTTGGTAAATATTTTCAGTGCGTATTTTCAGTTAATGTAAAAATGTTCATATGGAATTCGTCCATCAGATGATTACAAAGTAAATTCTTTTGACTTTATGTTGTGTGTTAAGCAATATTCGATAGGCTACATTCACTATCGTGTTAAGTTTGCATTTAAAATGAAATCGTCTTGCAGGCCAGGAAAACTTGGAGTCCATGAATTGCAAAAAGTTGGGACCCCCAGATCAGGGGGTGGATTTAGTAATTCTGGGGTCCAAGGCAAAAGATACGAATGTGGCCCCCTGAATGCACATTTTTAAATTAGTGACACTAAACTGTCTATACTACAAAAAATATCTTAGCAGTGAAGTCATGTTAAATCTAGCCAATATATCTAATATTTCTCATTTTAAGATTGCTGTAATAATATTACAAGATTAGTTAACTAATTTCTAGAAACTGATTTTATAAGAAATTAGATTTTTTTTAAAGAAATTTTAATATTTTAATATTCTAATAAAATTTAAGAATTTTATTAGAAATTAGAAACAGTAATTTTATTAAATGAAACTGTCTCACTATCTTGGTAGATTTTGCTTGATTTAAGAAATATGCTCAAAACAAGATTTTTGGCAAAGGAGAGATAATTTGGTATACATAAACATAGAAGTGATGAACAGTGACATTCCAGAAAGTAATAAGTAATGTAATTCAATTACAATCTGAGAGAAGTAAATACTAATTTTGAGTATTTACCACAACACTGGGGTCAGGCTGCATTAAAAAACACTACTAAAAAGGATCACTAAATAACAGCTTTTTAAAAATATGTATATACACACTCCTAGAAATAAAGGTACTAAACTGTCACTGGGGCAGTTCCCCTCCTGTCACTGTGGTGGTTCCCTCAAGGGAACATCCCAGTACCTTTAGTCAGGGAACATAACTGTACCATAATCCACTGAAATGATATGTTCTAAGCTGTACTGACTCCACACACCCCGTCTCGTCTCCAGGACTTTATTTTACTGTTCTGTTTTAAAACATTTGGTTATGAAAAGATACAAAATACGAACTTTTCACCTGGAGAAACTTATTTAAGGTTCTCAATCAGACCTCAAAACCACTGTTGTAGCTTTGAGGGAACATTTACACTGTTTGTACCTCGATGAACGAAAAATGTACCTGAACAGAACCTTTTTTTCTAACAGTGTATTTTGGAACAGGCTATTTAACATGAACATGTTCAGTACAGATAATACATATTTCCGTGGCCCTTGGGGGGCAGCTCAGTGCTGTGAAACCTCCATCCAAAATTTCATTCATGTTGTATCATCTCGGCGTTAGCAAGTTTAATAGCAGACACATCAGTCAGACCTGCATAAACAAATGAGTGCAGTGTGCAGCAACAAGCTTCACTGAATCACTCCGTGTCCTGCGCAGTACAGTCGCGTGCCCGTGTGGTTAGGAACATGCTTTTGTGCTGCTTTTAGTGAGCCAAGCTGAGCACATGCAAAAAAGCTTAATATAAGCAAATGCACACAGACACATACAAGAATAGGGCTGTGACGGTGTAAGAAGTGACAGGTTATTAGAGGAACTTACTCAGATACACTAGCTCTGTGGCTGAATCTACAACAGGCCAGACATGGGGAGAAAAAAAAAGGACACACACAGCGGTTTATCATGACATCACTCAACTCAAGTTAACACACTGCAGTATTCAAAATGATTCGGTTTATCAAATAATCCGATTCCTTTGGTGTAACGATACGCCCAGCACTCAGCCTGCGACTCGGTTTACAGCACTAGCTTGACGATTCTACATTCTCACAACTGTTAGAAGAAAATCTGAATGAAGGAAACTGATGACTGTAATAATGAACACCCTGGAGTGTCTTGTTGGTGGGTGCTGACTGTCTCCAAACTTTGGTGTTCAAACAATGTAACTGCATTAGATTTCACAATTAACAGAACGTCCATTCTCCACCATGTACACTGTCGTTTTTTCGAGATCACGATGTTGAAAGCATTGTTACACCCCTGTTACTTGCTGATACGTCAACAAGTCTTTGTTTATAACAAGGGTGGGAAACTGAGAGACAGAGTCCAGCGTTTGGTGATTTTCCTGCTCCAGCACACCTACTAAACCTATGAATGACATCAGGTGTGCTTAAGAGGGAGAAATCACCAAACGGGGCAGGAGTTCCCCACCCCTGATTTAACTTCTGCAGATTTTACAAAAGAAAAAGCATTTGCATGCAGCACCCCAACATTGTGAAACAATCTGAAAATTGTCTGAAAATTTAGATTTCAGATTTCCAAGTGAAACACAGTATCAGGGAGGGTCACTGAGGCAGAGAGGTGGGGGTGGCAGGAAGGGAGATGAATTATGTTCTTTATTTATTTTTAATATTACTTCTTCCCCCACCCGCTAGTGCTCAGTGATGTAACCAAAACTCAGAAGATGTTTCAGAGGTGGGCAAAAGTCCTTAAATTTAGATGGAACAATACAGGAAAGCAAGAATTTTGGGTAACATGTTATACAAACTGGCCCCTAGAAATTGCAACCTAGTCCGAAGGCTGTGTAAACAGGACTACAGCTTTAATTCTAAATTTTATAGTGACAAAAAATATTTAAAGTGCTATAAATTATTTTTATAAGTGTATTATATTTAATTGTCATCATTTTAATACATTATAAAATCAAACCTTTTAATTGGGGTCTATTTAATCATTATTGCTGTTTTTTAAAAAGTACAGGCCCAAACAGCTCAACCCATTCGCATTGAAGTCCCTGCAGATACTGAATAATAAGCATTAGTATGTAATAAGGGGTTATCTTAGCATCAAGGGAAGGTTTATTCATCAGAAAGTAGCAAGATATTAAATAACTACATAAACATTTTAAACAGACGTTGACAAATTGCTGTGTTGTTATTCATAATGATTATGCTTACAGTTTTCATGCCACTAAGTAAATCCTTAATATTTCAAGTTACATTATTTGAGTTCTGAGCATCAAAGAACTAAATAATAATCAAACTGTAAATAATAATTAGGTATCTACAATTCAGAATAATGCTTCTATGTTTAAGTAAATAGTTATTATTCAAATGGTGCCATTTATGAATGCATATGTAACTAATATAAAAAGTTATGAATAGTCATTAACAAACTATTAGCCAACAAAGAAGATGCTATTTATTAGGCCCTGTTACTATAAAGTGTTATCGAATTTTGTCTTTTAAATGGTAGTTATGATGAATCATATTTAATATATGATTAAATATATATTAATAGGACCAGAAACATGAACAAAACACAGTAAAAAAAAAAAAAGTCCATTTTGATTTCAGGTTGACTTCAAGAGACATCACTTATATTAAAGCTGCCTGAGATATCTGAAACTATAAAGGAGATATTAAAAAAAGGCCGAGTTTAACTGAGTTTGTTAGCTTTGAGAGGAATCCAACCTCAAATTATTCAAAGAAAAAGAGTACTTAGCACTTTGAGCGCCACCCCTTGGCCAAGGTAACTGCACTGAGTGTTCTCTTATAAGGCTGGATGAGGCTAGTAAGAGAATGAATAATTACACATCAGTATGAAAGGTTACATTACAAAGAAAATGTTGGCAACACATCTATTATTTCTCATTGAGATTATTGTGGGAACAAATCATTTTGTATCATTTGTAGATTTTAAAGTCATCATAACATTCTTACAGTATTCTTATCTCACCCCACGAGAAATTACACATATGACCTGAATTTAAGACGCAATATCTTGGCAAGACAAATTGATGTCTTGTATTTTTAATGGAAGGTCAAGCTGAGGAACAACAGACTTTTTTAATAGTCTTGTTTTTGGCCATTTTCACCAAGGGTGCCAATAATTATGAAGAGAACTGCATGCTCAGAGAATTACCCACTTATGGACACCAGAGGGAAACCTAAGGCAAAGCACAATGAACGCTACATCACACCCTATACTGCTACACTGCAACACATGGAAAAGGCCTCATCAAAACGTCCTGCTGGAATCACGTCTGTTATTAGCCCGGGGTGTGGGGGGGGTTGGGGGGTGAGGGGTGGGGGGGATACTTCAAAGCCGTCATCATCCAGCATTCAGACCACAGTGGCTTCCCCAAAGCATCTGTAAGTCACAGAACTCTTTAAAATAACAGCATGTGTGACGTGATGTGAGGGTGTGTGTGAGCGACGCTGCGGCTTGCGGTCTCATCTTAAAGTCACCACAAGAAACACAGACACTCAGAATATAGACCATTAAAAAAAACCAAAACCAGAAACATCGGCCCATCTCCCCACGTACTCCTCATAAATGTAACTACAGCAGGAGGCTGCACTAAATCTATCATGCAAGGGAAATAAATATGACTACCATACTTGGCTTTGATGCATCAGCCAAAACAATGTAGAAGCTGCAGCTAAACAGTAAATCTGCTAAAGATGGGAATGAGTAACGGACCTCTCAGGTACTTCTTATACCTTCTATTTTTATTATACATTCTGTGCATGTGTATTTGGCGAACTGCTGCACAATGTCTTTTCCTATAGCCCATGTCAGGGGTCGGCAACATGAGGCTCCGGAGCCACATGCGGGCCTTTTACTGTCCTGTTTATGGCTCCACAGGATTAGCTGTTTAGGTAAAAATAAAAGAATCCTCCTTTGCAGTAAAATAAAGCTCTGCTGATCGTTCAACACAGTTTAACAATAAATGGTCTTAAACGCTGGAGTTAATGTAGAACTGCTAATTCACCTTAAATGATGCAGCAGTTACATTCGGGCACTTCAGGCACCATTTTAAGGTGGAATTGGAGAATTCGAACAAGAAGCTGTCGAACGAGAAGAATGCAGAGACACATTACAAGAAACTATTCTACTTTTGTGGAAAAGTACAGGGAGATTCACTTGAAAGAGGCCCTGAATATTCTGTTGTAACTCCCGTTAGGATGAAGCAACCTGAACCAAAAAAACACGCCACATCCCTTGACGTCTGTGTAATTGATTGCATTACATGCAATGCTGGAAGTGATCTCCATTTTCTGCCAGACGCATGAAGGGGTACAGGGGTATGCACCTGGAAGTTGCAAACGGAGGTTAAACGTTGCGACAGCTGTCCGGCGCCTACCTCATGGTTGCGACGCAGGGGCATCCCGGCTCGTTCGAAGCTCCATATACTAAGGAGCACACTGCACTTTGTTTCGTTCAGATTGCTTGATCCTAGCGAGAGTTATTACAGAATATTCGGGGCCTCTTTCAAGCGAATCTCCCTGTAGAATAGAAACTAGACATCTAAAAAAATGTACGTGCTCCAAAATACACTGCCTGATGCCTCAAATACTGTTTTATGATAATTTTGTGATAATGTTTTGGACTTTGTTATTTTTTCAAATCCATTAACGGTGGAGAGGCACATGCAGGGTGTTGTAAGGCAAAATTATATGCTCAAAAGACTTGTGTAAGTTCACTGGTCACTTTGGATGGTATAATAGCGGAAAAGTGGAAGATATATTTGCATTATACCTATCACAACCCTCGGTTCCCATCACCACCACTGCAAAGAAATCTAAATCAGTGTGTTTCTCTACAAAGAACCATTTCACATCAAACCAGTCTGAATGACCTTGTTTACAGCATGACTGAATTAGGCAGTAATTAAAAAATGGTGGAATTCCCCTCTTAAAAGTGAAAGAGTGGCTTAGACAGTTCTCTAAGGGAAGAGAGGGAGGTATTCATAGCATTGATCCTCTGCAAATGGCTGAGGGAGGTCAGGACCTTGGCCCTTTGCAAATGGTATTTATGAAGATCAAGGACACACAATCATGGGGTACGACGTCAAACAGCTACTTTTATGTTAAGTTCACAAGCTTACAGAGACTCATAAGACAAATCATATGGCTTCCATGCAAACTGCGTCAGGCATGTTCTCTGCCGTTCCTGCCTCTCGCTTCATCCTAACAGCACATGCAACAAAAGCAGTACGATCCATCTCCTGTTGATCGCAAGTACATTCCAGAGCTCACAGAGAAAAGGATGTTCATGACGTAGAACATGCAGAGCAAGACAGTCACAACAATGCAAAATGAAGGAGAAGTGGCCATTCAGAAAAGAAAAACAAATGCAGAAAAACCAATGTTATGCCGATCAGGCGTAACATTATGACCACCTCCTTGTTTCCACACTCATTGTCCATTTTATCAGCTCCACTTACTATATAGGTGCACTTTGTAGTTCTACAGTTACAGACTGTAGTCCATCTGTTTCTCTGCATACTTTGTTAGCCCCCTTTTACCCTGTTCTTCAGTGGTCAGGACCCCCATGGACCCTCACAGAGCAGGTACTATTTGGGTGGTGGATCATTCTCAGCACTGCAGTAACACTGACGTGGTGGTGGTGTTAGTGTGTGTTGTGCTGGTACAAGTGGATCAGACAGCAGAGCTGCTGAAGTTTTTAAACACACGATAGCTCATCTGTTGCTGCACAGTTTGTGTTGGTCATCCTCTAGTCCTTCATCAGTGGTCACAGGACGCTGCACACAGGACGCTGTTGGCTGGATATTTTTGGTTGGTGGACTATTCTCAGTCCAGCAGTGACACTGAGGTGTTTAAAAACTCCAGCAGCTCTGCTGTGTCTGATCCACTCAGACCAGCACAACACACACTAACACACCACCACCACGTCAGTGTTACTGCAGTGCTGAGAATGATCCACCACCCAAACAATACCTGCTCTGTGAGGGTCCATGGGGGTCCTGACCACTGAAGAACAGGGTAAAAGGGGGCTAACAAAGTATGCAGAGAAACAGATGGACTACAGTCTGTAACTGTAGAACTATAAAGTGCACCTATATAGTAAGTGGAGCTGATAAAATGGACAATGAGCGTAGAACCAAGGAGGTGGTCATACTGTTATGCCTGGTCGGTGTATGTAAGACAGTTTTTAGAGGGGAACAGAGTTGCAGTCGATTCAGCAAATATGCATCCATATCTCGAGCACTGGGCTCGGTCCTCTGAGGGAGGATGTAAAACGTCTGTGTGATGATGCCCTGTCAAGTGACTTCCTGGTTTTTTCTTGCAACATTTTGAATGAACGTATTTGAAACTGTACAAATACAGAAGGCAGAGAGAATTAAAGATGTAGTTCAAAGAAAATGCACACAAATTTAACCCTAAATGTAGCTAAATCAACCAAGACAGGTTTGGTGTTAAAAGATGGCTTGTATAGTTTTGCACTGGAGCTTTGAGTCTAATGTAGCAAATCATAAATCAGAGAGTCAGAATCTCAGCCATATCAAAAACGTCCATCTGTTTTTTTTTCCGCTTTTTACACCATTTAAAAACAGCAGTTGCCCTTTAAATTATGATGAATGGACAAATCCAGTCGTATGCAAAAGTTTGGGCCACGCTGGTGAAACAAAGTTTTGAAAACACATCCTCTACAGAGAACACACTTCTGCACGTTTTAATGCACCATTACTGTTTACTTATTGAATTTGACACATTAGAAAAAAAACTTGGAAAATGTTATTAAAAAAAGGTTATGGCATATTTTATATTTTCCAATATGTTAAAATCAGCAAATGAATAGAAATCGCACAGAAAAATGCCATATTTAGTTCGCTGTTAGAGGAGATGTTAACTTATTTTCACTTAGAAAATCAACAAAACATGAAGTTTGACCAGGAGTTGCATACCACTGTTCCAAAATGGCTCTAAAGCTACATTAAGGCTAACCTGACTTACAACAGTTAGTTCCGACAACACTGATTGGTTGAGCAGCGTTCTAACTGTGCTGTTATTTCACCATAACATCACGTTTTTTTCACAAACACTATCACTCCGCTGAGACGCTGTTGCTAAGCAACAACTTTGACAGCTGTAGGAGACGCTCAAGCCATTTGAACGTTTTTACTTCTTACTTTGCCACAAACAGAAAATGGACACTTTTTAGATCACAGTTGACCGACAGCCGATTTGGTCAGACTCTGAAGATGAGACGACACTAAATTCCCAAACTGTCATCACCACTGAGCAGCTTTTCAGTCGGCAGCTGAGACAGAAGAACAGCTAAACAACCTGGAATCAGCCAGAAATGAACCCAACACCATTCGCCAAACTAAATGGGCTGTAAGATGCTTTACAGACTGGCTGGAACAAAACAACATTAATACTGATCTGGCAAAAACTGACAAAACTGAGCTGAACTTGATATTGGGGCAGTTTTATGGATCAGTCTGATTTGGTAAGACTCTGAAGATCAGACTACACATTTGGCGAATAGTATTGGGTTCATTTCTGGCTGATTCCAGGTTGTTTAGCTGTTCTTCTGTCTCAGCTGCCGACCGAAAAGCTGCTCAGTGGTGATGACAGTTTGGGAATTTAGTGTGAGGAGCTGGAGAACGAACTGCTGGCTGCTCGTTAAGGAACTATAATTTGGTGAAGGAACTGCGAACATTAAAACATATTAAACGCCGCGTTCACGGCCCAGTTTATTAATTTATTACTTTATTTATTTAACTGTATAAAAGCAATGGAACACTCGAGCTTGCCTTCAGCTCCTGCCTGCGACCCAATCACAGCCCTGATGTTATTTCGCGATAACACACTCCCTCTCGATTTCTATTGCTTAAACCAAAGTGACCTTTCCAATATTTGTTAGTTCATGTTCCTGGCCATGTTAAACAAAATTCACCACATCATATCTTTTTAGAGACAAAATTTTAGTTTCGCCATAATCTTCCATCAAAACATAATGTCTTTTCTCAACCTCTAAACCCTTTTCTGAGCTTTGATTACATCACTGTGCACCAGCAGGCGGGGCAAATAACATTAACCAATAATATGATGTTTTACCTCACTCTCCCACCACCTCCACCTATCATTGGGTGAAACTCTTAGCTAGTTTCAGAGACCCTCTCTGACACCCCCAAAACCGTGTTTCACTCAGGAATATGCCATGGTGCAGAGGGAAAATGTGTGATTTACAATTCATGTTGTCTTTAATACATCTTAGAGTTTGGACGTTTGATAAAGTTGCCATTTCGGAGTTTTCGGTGTTTTGACAGCACCACAATCAATCAACCACAAACAAGCGCATCTGTGATCGCTTTCATTACTTGTTAGCTACATTAACCTCATAGCTCCAGTGCAAAAAATCTTGGCTGAGCTAAGAGGAAAGCCACGGTAAACTTTCCCTAATCTATTCCTTTAGAGAAATAAAGAGGCATCATTTCAGAGACTGTTTTAGAAATAAACATGATTAAAATAATAACGCAGCAATAACTGCAGCTGGAAATAAAGATGCTCTTTTGTCTTAAAGCAGCAGGCTCAGACGGGGGGGGCTCACTTTGGCGAGAGGTCATCGTCCAGCCAGGAAGGCCGTCTCTGCGACTTCTCGTTTTCCGACCCCGCCCTCTCTGCGCGACCCATCTGACTGGCCGATGAAGGCACAGGGAGGAAATGGGTGGGGCTCAGGCTGGAATGTTTGGGTGATGCTTGGCTGCGTCGTGCCCACAAGTCGTCCCGCCCTGGGTTGCCCGTAGGGGACGTCCCGCCCACCTTGTCTGCGAAGGGAGGGAACTTCTTGCTAGGGCCAGGGCTGCCTTTTGGGCTGGGACTGATAGGACTGGTCACTATGATGCTTGTTGTCATGGAGCCGGTCGTCAAGGACGTGCGGTAGAGTTCTTCAGAGCAGGAGCGGGCGGTGCTACTGCTGAGAGAATGATGGGATTATCACCACGGACAACAGTGAGCGACGCGAGACTTGGACCTGAGAGCCAAGTGGAACTCAGTGGAAAAACAAACAAAGCTGACCGTGCTCATTATAGCATTAGCAAAATGCACGCTGGCAAAGACTCCCTGAATCTATCCAGCATGCTGCATCGCAGATACATAACAAACAACAGCGCCAAACATCCCTTTAAAGGAAGAAGTTAATATTGGAAGAAGACATTGAGACACTATTTTTATTCACTATGAAAAACTGTATCTTGGCATGTAAAATCTTCTTGAATCTACTTAATATACACAGTCATATGTAAAAGTCTGGGCACACCTGGACGATGTATTTGGCTGATATTATAAGTGAAAATAAGTACACGTATTCTACAGACAGCACACCTGTACACATTTTAATGCACTATTACTTAGTTTATTTGCTGAATTTAATATATTGGGGTTATGAAAAAAAAATGCAAAATCCGTGGCACGTTTTACACTTGGTACAATTTTTTTCCCAATATGGTAAACTCATTAAATAAATAGGAACTGTTCACTAAAACATGCAGAAATATACTATTTATGTTTGTTTCCTGTGTAGAATGTGTATTTATTTTCACTCACAGTTTGATTAGGGCTGTTCAAACCTTTGCATATGACTGTCTCTAGTATTTCATATAATATGATTGTTTTAAAAATATTATAGGAGCGTTTAAGTTGTTTAGCCATTTCTACTTGCTTGAGGTCATTTCATCAGGTGTCTTATTCCACTGGCTGATTGGCTGAAACTTTTTTTTTTAAAACAAGCAACAGTTGCACATTGTTTGTTAACACAAGAAAAACTGCAGTCAAATGCCAACCGAATAAGATATTTTTCACGGTAAAACTTAAACACAAGCAAAACTGACTATTTTCAAATTCTTAAAACATTCTCATAATGACAAATATTAGATATAGTAGCTAAATCGAAGCTGCCAAGATTTCATATAGTCACTGTCCAAAAAAATCTCCAAATGGTATCTTCACAGAAGAAGTCGAAAAGGTTTGTAATTTTTAATGTAAGTTAATGTAAAGAGGTTTTATTTCAAGTGATTTTGGAATATTTCTATTGGTCGATTCCTCAATTTTCACACAAAAAAAGGATGTGTTTTTTGGACAGCAGCAGTGTTTTGCAAGGCTTTAAATCCCAGTCAGCTTTCAGACATTTTAAACACACACAAATACACACACTGTACATCAATCGTGGACAAGTTCAGTTTCAGAAAGTCCCACCATGTTTTCCTTCCCCTTGAACACTCAACCCAAATCATTGAGTGAACAGGTGGAAGGGAAATAAGGCAGGACTTTTACTTTCTGAAGCTGACCTTGTCCTAAAATAAGAGCATGATATCCTTTCCTCTCGTTCTGAGGGTGTGTCACATGCTGCACAGCAAAGCATGAAGAGAGGCAGCTGGTATGGCCCATATGTCCTGTCTCTACTGTAAGTCTCCACTCATTCATGCCCTCAACACAGTGTCACAGTGCTTCAACAGTGCTTCAACACAAGTCTGCACAGCGAGCTCAATTTAGATGCATATAAACTCGTATGAATATCAATGAGCCTGCTTTCTTCGTTGGTTTGCAGTCATTTTGCATATTAAAAACTAAGCAGGTTTAGTCCAAGCAAAACAATTATGCATATAACTATTTGTGACATTATTTGTGATGGTCAATAACGAATGACAAAGGCTGTGCATTTTATCCCTTTCATGTGATGTCAGAATTCTTCAGCACTCAAACCTTTCAGGTGATTAAACCACATCTGGAGGAAAAGATTGTTTGTACCTTTAAAGGGAATTCCAGCCTAAATCTACAGTTCAGTATTCTCTAGCACAGCATCATATCCCTCTGCCTCCCCATTGGTAATCCCTGTGGTGTCAACCAATCCTGACTGCTATAGTCACTGATCTCTAGGCCCACAAACTCAACCAAGTTAACATTGACAACTGAGGTAAAAGTTGTTAAACACAATTGCAAAGAAAATGTCAATTCTGCCTTTACTTAGCAAGCGTTTTCTTTTTCAGACAGAGAAAAGAAGCCAAGCTGAGGTAAACTATCTAAAAAGCAAGGTCCTCCTTATACGACAAAGCATTTCTGTCAATTCAATAACCAATGTTAACAAAAACTGCGAAGGAGACAGTTACTACAGTTTATATCCCATGTGTCAAACACAAGGCCCGCGGGCCAGATCAGGCCCGCCATGCAATCCTGTCCAGCCTGCAAAAGTATTTCAATTTTCTATTAATATTAGCCTGTTTCACAATGTGCTACACTACAGTCCCCAGCATGCACAACGTAATAACAATCTATGGGTCAGTGGTCACACCTCATATCACCAAAACACATTTTAGCTATAAACACTTAAGCTTAACTCATAATTAAAAACATTTTTTCCTCTGGTCTACAGATTTGATAAGATTTTTTAATATGGCCCTTTTACTTTTTTTGTCTAACACCCCTGGTTTATACAGTTGCAATAAGATATTCGGGTTCCTAGCAGTAGCATTAGCTGTTTGCTTCCCTGCCCCAAAACAGTTATGGTTTTTCCAAAGCTCATCCCAACTGTGGTTATATTAATCATTTTGATCAAAGCAACCTTTTCACTGTATTTTGGAAAAGAAAGCTGTCAAATTATACTCAGATGTTTCATGTTAACAAAACCTTTTCCAAAACTAAAAATTTAGTGAGAAATTTCACATTTCGAAAGAAGAAAGGCATCTCTAAACTTTTGACAGACACCAATAAAGTGGACTATTCAAGGTTTTAGAGAGAGAACAGAGACACAGTGGCCACAGTGAGAACACAGTAGATTCTCCTCCTTTATGCCCCTTGCCAAGACAGGAATGAGCAAGACAAGTCTTCAAAATCTTCTTAAAAGCTGCATCAGACTGACAGTTGAAGCGCTGTGCTCGGACTTGGCCTTTCCATGTCCGAACAGGATGGACGCTGGGCTGCTGGTGTCACTGCGGGTTTTGGATGTGTGAGAGATGGCCATTTCTGAATGGAGCCTTTCATGTCTGCCTAAAAGAAGCCCCTTCTTTTTTGGCCCTGGTGCACAAAGGACCCTCAGTGCCTGTCGACTGGCACCCAAATCCACACACCCACCCAAAAGCCCTAGTGCCATATGCCCAGCACGACTGGCACAGGCCGACAGCACCAGCCCCATGCCAGCATACAGACCCACAAACACACACACAGTCCTGGTACTGACAGAGTGGAGGCTCATCACGTCGTGATAAAAGAAGTGACCAGCATGGAATCTAATCTGTGTGAAATAGTGACACACGGACACTACAGCACACTGAACAGCAGCTCAGATTACTGTGAGAACAGACCTGACACAGCTGCATCGTCTTCAACATGGGTTTAAACGGGAGACCCTGATGGCTACTTTAACAGCTAATTCTGCCTTTTTAATCCTCATTTGAACATGAAGCAATGTGTGCAGCGAAGCCTTGGCCTTTGGTCTGATTGTGAAGGCTTCAAAAAGTTCATGCATCTTCTACATTATACTACTTAAAAAATAAATAAATAAATAAATAAAAACCCAAAACATTTATGATTTTCCTGGCAAACATTCAGATTCAGCACTACAACCTTCATGAGGGAAACCTTTAACATCAAACCCTTTCATAATATTCAGTGGCAACACCAGGACTCTTTGAGCTAGACCTTCAGGTCAGGCCATAAATGTTAAAACTTAGTCAAAAAACCACACACACACACACACACACACACACACACACACACACACACACACACACACACACACACATTCTACAATAATGCCAAATTCTGCTAGCACTTCTATGGGATTTCTAATAGTATTTTAGCACCAACACTGGCACACACTGACATTTTTGGATATAACATATAAAGCTTGTAAACACATCCCATATTTTTCAATTTTGTCTGAAGCTTGTAACAGACATCAAAATATAATTTTACCTTGTACGTTGCAGTTTGACTTTGGTAAAGAGCCCTAGAAAATAGCTGCCGCCACAGTTTTCCATTTCTAACAGCCGACTGAAACTTGAATGTATCTCGGACTTTAAGACAGCCTGGAGTGACGTTTTCTCACTAAGTTTGGACCATCAATTAGATACTAAAGCATGAAAGAGAAAATCAACCTTTCACTTCCCAATTTTGTTGCCAGTTAATGTAATGTGTAAGGCCTTCTATTCAGCTCCTGAAGGCCTAACCAATGAGAGAGCTGGCAGAATCTACCTAGATACCATGGGGAAAAAACTTTGATAAAATATTGAAAACACTCAACAGAAATGAACCCTTTTTTGCAGCCAAAACTTAATGAAAGAGTATTAATACAACACTTTACAGAGTTTAGACACACACAATCATTATTAAATAAAAATTAACCAAAAATTACAGACATGTATGTTTTCACTCACGAGAAATCATTAGGCGTTTGAGGAGTTGTTGAAGGCAACATCAGTAGATTCTCCACTGTAACTGTACTTCTGAGAGTAATCATATTATAGTAGTTTTAGGTTTATGTCTATAGCTATTTTAATTTTGAATAATGGTTACAGATTACTACTTCCAAGCAGAGGAAGCAATTAGCCTACCAGCTAATTTTAGTTAAATCTTTATTTTATCATTTCAGTATAAGAAGCACAAAACTATGAAACCTATAACTGTTGTGACACATTGTGTTCTTCTTCTGTTCTTCTGAGTGCTTGTATAAGGTAAGCTCATAGGTTAGCTTAGCTAGCCAAACAGCCAAAAATCATAGTGAAACCTTAAGCTTAAGACCTGCTGTAAGGCAAATTTGAACTTAACTGAAATTTAAGTTCATTAAACAACTTCTCACTACATTTAATCTTAGCTACATAACTGTGTTCTTTTGATTTGAGCATTATAGTACTTGTTAGCTAGCTAATTCAGCTAATGTAAGCTAACATTAAAGTGCAAGCTAATGGGTTATCTTAGGTA